CTCGAGGAAGGAAGACATCTTCAAGTTTAACGTGACCTGTTTGGTAATTCTGGGGCATGTTATCCCATTAATGGCGGCATTGCTCGTGGTCACCCAATCGGATGACTTTGTCTTCCTCTGCAACCAATTCGTAGCTTATGCCATGTCTGTGAAGAGGCGGTATGTTTCTGAGGAGAAGAATTTCTGTGAGTAAACATGTCCAAAGCTTTTTTTAGTATGAACACTGTAAGAAATCTGGTGTGGTCAGGTGGGTCGAGATTTCTCGGTATTAAAATTGCTACCGCTTGGTGTTAATTTTATACCAATTAATTTAATAGTGAACTATAATTTACTATCACTTGGTATTACAATTATATGCACAGGTCCATAAAAATTTGCTAATGATAAAACCTTAATACCGTGATATTATCTAGTACAAGGTATTGCTTATCAATACAACTTTAGATTTAGAAGAGTCATACATATGTGCATACCGTTTGGTATTTTAACACTAGATTTCTAAAAGTGTACTGGGTGGTTTCAATGTTTCGTTACACTGGAAAATTTGCAGATGGAAAAATTCGCAAATCTCAATTAGTTACCGAAATTTTATCTCTGAAATTCAGCATAAGAATTTTGGCACAGTTTTGATAATAATTAATAAAAATCTCAATCCCAAATCCTCGTAACTAATGGAGATTTAGGGGCTCTTCACTTTGCAAAATTTTTCATTGTAGCGAGATATTTATATGAACCACTCTGTACATACCTTCGTGGATCGAAAGTTTGTCCAAGTCTTCTTAATTGTTGGAGAATTTAATTTTCACACACTCTTTTGCGTTGTATAAAATTCAGCATCACACATTGAACTTTTTGTGAAGGTTTTCATGCAAATTCTTATTAATTTTTTGAGGGCTCACATATCCTACTGGACTCTTGCTGGAAGTATTTGTCGTTCTGGTTTCATCTGGTGTCGTCTTCTTTTCGTTCTGTCAATCGGTGGTGCTCTACCTGATCGGCCCCATCCCTGGGCAATGGATCACCCTCACGCCGAAGAGATACTGGACCACGCCCTTCGTGTGTTGGTCTAACCTTATGTTCTACACTTATCTCTTGATTGCATCGTCATTTGCGGTGGGATGCATAGTATCCTTGATGGCAGCATACTTGGGTACGTTTAACAATAGAGAGGTTTATTAATAGCAGGAATGATTGACATTTTGATAGTAAATTGATCAGCTATAATATTTTTTTCAATCAGAAACAAAAATACTCTCGCTCTAGCGCAATCTCTCTAATTTCTTCTATACATATCAAGTTTGTCCATAGATTTTGGAGTAAAAGGATAAAGTTATGTAGCTAAACACATTGAAATATATACAATTTCAAAATTATTTACATTAAGCAAGTTATCAGTGCGGCAAATTTTGGAAATTTTGGAAATTAGTAATTCGATTTCCTATTTCTTTCCAGCTTTCGTTATACCCTTCCACTCGACCGAGTTTAACCTCATGATACCCAAATCGAAATATGTGATGGATTCCTACCTCCGCTCAGCCTACCAACTTCCCCGCGAATATGATTCTCTACAATTGCTCCACCGCTTCGCTAATTCTACCGTTGCCCCAGGCATCATCCCATTTCAAGCGCTCGCACTCAAATTCTCGCTCTATTGCAATTGGATGCTTCTTGCGCACTGGGACTCGTTAGGTTTCCTCAGTCTCATCCTCCCCTGCGCAGAGTTGTGCATAGTCATCTTGTGGTCTGGATTTCTCGAACTGGCGGGAAATTTTCATTCGACTTCGGTCAAAAATAGGATATCTTGGCGTAAATTGGCTGCGGGAGATAAATTCCTGACAAAATGGAGGAAGGCTGTGAGGCCGCTGTTCTTTGGACAGGAAGGTTTTCACAAGATTAAGAGGTTAAGCGTGCTCAAATTTTGGAAAGCTATAATTAGGGGCACATTCAGAACTTTACTGACGTACAGGTCTATCTAGCTTGATGGGGTAAGATGAGAGGTAAACGTAAAATTTTGTAAGGGACAATGAAAGTTCAAGAATATCTGCTATCAAGAGAACGAACGTAAGCATTTAATTCGTAAAAGCTTTTTTGATTCACGCCAGTTTTTCTTCGTTTCACACGTAGTGCTATTTAACAAAGGAACTTTCATACAACTACCAAATGTTAGTGTTTATCTATACATACAAAAGTATATATGCCTTGATCTAAGTATTTTTTTAGATTACAAGCTAATTTTCCGTAAGTAGGAAAATTTGCATACATATGGATTTGTAAAAGAACGTATACGATCTTCCCCTTCTTTGTGGGCCCAAAAAATGCATAACTTTGATAATTTATTCCATGCAAAGTTCATCGAGCACTTTTTCAAAATTTTAACTATATATATATCAACTCTCTATCTTCACAATAAAAAAATTGAAAAAGTGCTCGTGGAACTTTTGGAGCTATAGCCAAAATCCCGAAGAGGTTTTTATGAGATTTATCACCAGAAAATTACAAAAAGTGGTCACCTGGTTGCCAACCAAAAATCACCTTAAAAAATATCTCCAAATACAGCTTCGCGTAGCCCGAACGAGGATTTACTATTAAATAAATTTGGAATTTTTCTCATCAAATTGTCTGAGTCTGGCGATTTTTAATATCTCAGGCAGGTCGATGGTCAGAATTATTTTTCTGAAAAACTTTTGTGGATACTTTTTTTGAACTTTACAATATCGTAAAAGAAATTACGACGGTTACGAGATTTTGGAAGCGTCGTAAGATTTTGTCATCAAAAATCACGTTACTAACAATGGAACCTTTTTACAAGCTACACCGGGATTGTGCATGTAGCGAGTTACATAAATAAAATCAAGCCAAAAATTACGAATGGTCCCTTTGAAGAAAAATATTTGCGACAAAGTTCAATCTTTTGGTAAATTATCTTTCCCTTTCCCACGACGAGGGAAAAATCAAAGCGATCGTGGGTATTTTTGCTCCAAATATTTTTCTTCAAAGTGGCCATTCAATGGAATGATAAACGCCATGTGATTCCTAATTTTTGACTTGATTTTTTTATATAACTCGTTAGACAATTCCGGTGTAGCTTAAAAAAAGGTTCCCTTGTAAACTTATAAATTTTCCGAAGCTTGACCAGACAAGTTGATGGCCTAATATCGCTACCACAGCGAAAAATCGAAAACTTGAATATAGATTTGCATACATAATCAGGATATGGTCTAATGGTCTTTTGGCCATGCTCACTTTTAACTTCATATTCGTGCATGAGCATCCATTAAGGAGGGGAGCTCGCGAGGTTGATAATAACAGATCCTGATGCCTTTTGGATATGTGGTAGGGTCCCATGAGTGAACTAAAACCCTGAAGTGGTTTGACTCCATGGCCACATTTGCGCCCGCCACACCCACTCAAAAATGCTCAAAAACCGCTTTCACTCCGGTTTTCACTCACTCAAATCCACGCCAAAAATCCAATTTTGCTCGGATTTTGAAATTTCTTTCACCATTACACTCCCAGATAGTTGCTTTCTTCAATTCGATATCAAACTCAATATTTTCGAAATTATTAGTATTTTTAAAATTTAAAATTCTGAATGAGCATTGTTGTAGTAATCCACAACGCAAATTATGCCTGCGAAATAATCATCATCAAAATTGAGTTTCACATTGGATTGAAGAAAGCAACTATCTGGGATTGTAATGGTGAAAGAAATTTCAAAATCCGAGTAAAATTGGATTTTTGGCGTGGATTTGAATGAGTGAAACCTGGAGTGAAAGCGTTTTTTGGGCATTTTTGAGTGGGTGTGGCGGGCGCAAATGTGGCCATGGAGTCAAACCACTTCAGGGTTTTAGTACACTCATTGGACCCTACCACATATCCAAAGGGCATCAGGATCTGTTATTATCAACCTCGCAAGCTCCCCTCCTAAGTATACCGTGCCGAATTACAACTTTTTAAGATAATTTCTGCACAGAATATAGATTCTACCAGAAGAATCGATCTTATGTATTCGAGTGACGCTTATGGAAGAACGGGGAGAGCCAACCAAATAACGCGGTGTACATTTGGCCCACCTGGGGGATGGCACCTCCGCATCATCATCATCACCACATCTCCTGGCATCAAAAAATGATGATGAAAGCACATAGGTGGCGGTGGCACCCCCATTTGTGCACCAGAACACACCCTCGTAGAGCATCAAATTTGTGGAGACGCAGCTCAGAATGGTGTGTTCCGGTGCACAAATGGGGGTGCCACCGCCACCTATGTGCTTTCATCATCATTTTTTGATGCCAGGAGATGTGGTGATGATGATGATGCGGAGGTGCCATCCCCCAGGTGGGCCAAATGTACACCGAGTTATTTGGTTGGCTCTCCCCGTTCTTCCATAAGCGTCACTCGAATACATAAGGTCGATTCTTCTGGTAGAATCTATATTCTGTGTAATTTCTGAAAATCGGAATGGGTATATCATAGGATCCCCCGATCAAAAAACTCATGATACCCTTTGTATTGCGAAATTATATCCACATTAGGACAAGTGTCCCGAATTTTCGAATGTGCCTTCTACGACTAGTTGGAACTTGGAATACAACTAATATTGAATTAACGAACCCACCTGACGTGTATGTTACCCCCACTGGTCCAACTACTTTTTGATCGACTCTAGCTTCGAAGTTGGTCGTTGTATTATGCAGACATATGTTGTTACCAAAATTGGTTAACGTGTTCTAAAGTTATCGAAAGACAGACAGACAAACAGACATGACGACACATAAAGCCATGGTTCGGGATAATGTCTAGACATTTGATTATTTGGCTGTAAATCACCAAGTTATGATATTTAAATATTCGAAAAATTGCGAAAATAAAGGGACCGGGGATTTTGCCTCGAAATCGTCGCTAGGGGGCCACGAAAAAGGGGAAGTTCGTATGTGTCCTTTTGTAAACTTTCGTTAGTTTATAGAATTTGAGGATTTTTCAATTAAGGTTACAATTCATTTAGGTTTTTACAATGTTAGAATGTTTATTTTATTTCATTGTGATTTTACATTGTTACAAGCCCTACATTACGTGAATTACGTCCCCTCAAAATTAGGATTCCATAAATAAACTATGTACATGATCTTAAATAAACAACGAATAAATATGTTTGATCAATCTGAATACTCGGAATCACTGTCCATCTCTGTCTGCACGAAATGGCGTCTCGCCTTTTGATGCTGGTTGAGAAGACTTTTGAACGGATAAGCTTTCTCACACATGTGACATGCAAACTTGGCCATATTCGTGGCAGGGTTGTGCCTCATCTGGTTGTGGCGTCGGAGGGAAGCATAATGTCGAAATGAGAGACCACATTGGTCACATTGGTGGTCTTTTGCGCCCGGCTCCATTTCCTAGGTACAATTATGCATAAACATGATTAAGTTGAATGCTTTTTATTTACTTAATTGGCACATTAATTACTACATTGTGCAAAGAGTAACGAATTGATTACAATGAAAATGTATGTAAACTCTTAAAAGTAAGGTTACCCTTTTGAAAATTAAATGCACTGTCAATTCGGAATTAGGTAAACTTAAATCCAGAGTGGCGTTAACTTGACAAATAGTAAAGTTTACTCTGGATTTAGTAGTTTACTTAATATAGAATTCTGAGTATGTTTATGTACATGTCAAAAGTGTAACATTATTTTTATGAGTGTACAATCTAATTGGTTACCAGTTAAAAATTCGTGTTTTGGCTTACATGAATTTTGGTATGGTTCTGCAAACTTTTCCGGCAGCTGAGCCTCATGCCACAAACGTCGCACATGACGGTGTCATTTCTGTCATGCACGGTATTCACGTGTCTCAACATTCCTGGAATTAAATTTGCATATTAATAAAAACTGAACTATAGCAAATCTCAAAATTGTCTTAATAACACTACTCACGTGGTCTGCTAGAAAACACTTTTTGGCACGTTCCACACGTCCGCGCCGTTATGGATTCTATCTTTTTACGCCTTTTTCTAGGCACTGTAATGACCTCTTGTTTCTCGTCGACTAGTGTAATTGTTTCACCTGAAATTTCGTAATTTAATAAATCCACAAAAATTTACGAATCACTGACTGAGAACGGACCTTGCACCCATTTCAACCTCTGTTCCTCATCTAAATGTGTAGTTAAGTGGACCACATAAGAATCCTTTCGAACAAACCCTTTCCCACAAATGCCGCAAAAGTGTTGTGGAATTTTTTCATGTGCCGTACGAAAGTGGGCCATCATTTTCGAACGGGAGACAAACACTTGTTTGCAAGAGGGACACGTTTTTTCATGAAGGGGAACATTGCTCCGTAAGTTTTTGATGAATTCTAGTCTTTCCTCGAGGGTCATATGCATGTAACTGTGGTCGCGGAGGTATGTCTTTTTTCGAAAAGATTTCCCACAGTATTCGCATATGAAGGGGGTTTCTTCCTCGGGGGGTAACGTGTTCGAACTGGGGGACGAGGATGAGGAAGGTTTGAAATCTTCGGAACTCTCATCGTGGTCCTCGGGTACTGAAGTTGTACATAAAAAATCAAAAAATAAATGAGACATGTATGCACATGGTTTAAATCAGTTGGATTCATATAACCCAGTAAACTCCGTAAAATGTAGACACCTTCATAAAATGTTTACAAACCAAGACTATGAACGACAAATCTATAGCAGATTTATCAAGGAACGTACTTTGTGAAAGTTCATAAAATATTTAATTTTATCAAACTTGGACAGTTTAGGTATTGGGTTACAAATATTGAGGCAAGCGCTTGGTAACATTGTAAAATCCGTAAGTTCTGTAAATTTACTTTCAAACTCTTACAAAATTTTACAAATATTTCGAACGAAAATTAGCTCACAAATTTTTGTAAACTAACTCCGATCAAGACCGTTTTTTATTTTGTAAAAGTTTGTAAAATTATTATTTTACAAAAGTTATGGAATTTACAAGTTTCGAAGGATTATTTCATACATATGATTAATACGTACCTCTTTTTGGACAGGAACGTTTGTGTTTTTTCAGAGAACCTTTATGAACAAATTTTTTCCCACAGGCATCACATGCAATGGCATATGTTCTGCCGTGTGCGGACAATACATGCCTGAAAAGAGTATGAAAATGAAATTATTTGCATAATCTTGATTTAAAGTTAATCATGTTAAAACTTGCCGTAAGAGGAGAGAGGGTTTATCGAACAGTTTATTACACACGGGACAAGTTCGATCTTCGAGAGGAGTTTTACTTCGTTTACTTGGCATAGCGTTATTAACTTGATTACCTAAAAAAATAATAACCCAATTAACTTTCAATGTCTTGATTAGTTTTAGAGCCGAAATGTACTCAAAACTTGCCACGATTTGCCGGACAACTCGTCAACTGATGTCCCTGCAAGGAATCCTTACGAATAAATCCTTTTCCGCAGTCGGGGCAGGTAATTACGATGTCTCGAGCATGTCTGGATTGGTAGTGGCTGTCACACGAATTATAGTAAAGTTATCCGGTACAAAATAAAATATAGAACAAATATTTATAAAATTGCAAATTACATCTTCATTTTGGACGGTTTCTCAAACACTTGGCCACACACGGGACACGTTCTAAGTTCCAATGGAGTCTTTTTACTGCTATGAGATAAGCTAGTGTCGACTGGTTTATCGGAAGCGGATTTGTTGGCTAAAGCATACAATTAACAACTTATTTGTACATACACACTTACGCCTTACAAAACTTTACGAAATTAATAATGAGTTATGCGACAGGTACAAGGCATTAAATGAGGGACAATTTGTCCTTAAAAATTCGATTCAATATTTTTTACAAAATGTAGGCCTCCCCGCGTATGCTCTTCGATTTTAACCAAATTCGTGCCAATTAATTATCATGAAATCTGCATCCAACAGAAGAAGATTGCGCCCAAAAGTAGAGAAATTATACACTTGGCAAATTAATTGCGCTATTTCTTCTCTCCTTATGCAAATATTTATGCCAAACCTGAACATTTGCAGATAGTGTCTTTTGCAAATTTCATATTAATTAAATCTATCATCCATAGAAGGTCAAAATGGAAGAGGATAAGCTGGGAGACCTCCATTGGCAGTTAAGTAAGATTCATGAGTAAAGTTAACTCACATTCTTCGTCAAATGGTTCCTGGGTGGAAATGCGATCAGCTTTTATGTCGACGTTTACACTGTCTTCAACATTTATCTTAGCCCTTCCTAAAAATCATATTAAATTATTCACTAAATTTTTCCCTTGCAAAATATAATATTTGTATATTAAAGTTTACCACGACACGCAGTCAACTTATGTCCCTTCAATGAATCCTTACGCCTAAATCCGGCCCCACAGTCGGAACAAGTAATTACAATTTCGCGAGCGTGTCGTGACTGGTAATGCCTGCCAGAGCAAGTAATTATATAAAGTCAATTACTTAAAAGATCGACAATTCATTTAACGTACATTTTCATTCTGGACGGTTTATCAAAAACTTGGCCACATTCAGGACAAGTTTTCCCTTCGACGGAGGACGTTCTCCATTCGGCAGACAAGCTTTCGTCATTTGTAGGTGTTTTACCCCTCTTGGTAGATTTTCGGGGTACAGCTTTGTTGGCTGAAATATTTACATACAACTAGGCTTTAATTTTCAATGAGGAAATTTACACAGGCGTTGGTAACCTTGCAAAATCGTAAATTCGGTAAACTTCCAAACTTTTACAAAATTTGACAAATATTTATAAAGAAAATTAGTTTACAAATTTTTGAAACTTGTAAAGATCAAGTCAAGGGCGTCTTTTTATTTTGTAAAACTTTGTAAACTCGTTGTTTTGCAAAACTTTGAGGCATTATGTAACTCACGCAAATATTCTTCATCACTACTTTCTTCCAGTGGGGAAACATGGTGGTCAAAATCCGAGTCGCCCATGTCGTCCCCAATCTCCACTGAGCATTCTATTTCCTCCGTCTCGATGGGTTCTGAAACGGTGTCGCATTGTTGTCTTGTCCTGACCGTTATTGGATGAGTATCAATTTCCGTTTCGGCAATATCTTCCTTATCTACATATTAATAATAAATTTATTTCACCCACAAACAATTATGTATTATATACATATCATATGTATCAAACTGACTGACCAGGAATTAACTTGCCAGGACATGACGCTAGCCTATGCCCCTTCAATGAGTCCTTACGAATAAATCCTTTCCCGCAGTCAGGACAGGTAATTACGATCTCTCGAGCATGGCGGGATTGGTAGTGGCTGTCAGAACAAGTAATTATATAATCAAATACTTTAGCTATCAATGGATTAACATTTCACTTAACGTACATCTTCATTCTAGACGGTTTTTCAAAAACTTGCGAACACGCTGGACAAGTTCTGTCCGATTCGGGGGTCTTTTTCCAACGTGTTCCGTTCTTCTTGTTCTTATCCGTGCCCAGGTCCACCTCCACGTTTTCGCTTTCATCCGGATAAATAACGTCCACCCAAGTTTCACTTTCATCAAATTCGACTTCTTCTTTAACCTCCTGGAAGTTGTTCCTCCGGTCAAGGACAAAAACTTCTCGTATGAGCCTCGTCACGGCGACGTTTTCTCCGCGACTGTTTTCTCCACTAAAAGTTCCTTCTTCTGAACAACTCATCGTCATTTTGTCGACCAATTGATTTTTTATCTGGTGTAACTCCATCTCCATTTTTTCCACAAGTCGACCCAGTTTTCTCCCCTGTTCGACCAGTGTGTGACAAGTGGGACAAAATGTCATCCAGCTGGAGGGGTTGCCATGTCTGCAAAATGAAAACAATTGGTTCGCACAATTAAATTTGGAACTTTAATTTATTTGTACGTTAATTTGATCTATTTATTTATTTATTTTAAGGTTTTGTAACAACAATTTTTTTGAGCAAATTGGATTTCCTAGTTTCAAATTTGATAAAATCTTACTTGACCAGCCATTCTTCAAAGTCAAGAAAATGATTCGACAATGATATCAATCTGGTAAGAAAGTAGATAACGTTCAACTCTTCGTCCAGTGAGGCTTCCTGCATCGAATTTGACCTCTTCGTACAAATGACACACCTCATTTTTGCAAATTAATGTAGGCCAAGTTTTTCAATGATTTTAATTACATAATTAATATTTAATGTGATGAAATCACTTTTAAATTGCAACAAAAAACAAAATACAAAATCAGTAAACTTTCCCCAGATGAAGTTTCCCACTTCACGATTTCTTTGTTCGTGCCATACTCACGCACAGATGAGAAATGTAGCTTTGTTAGAAATATATACCTTATATACCATATATACCTTATCGTGTGATACTCACGGTGCGATTGATTTTTCATGAAACGAGTTTCATGAAAAAAAAACTTTTTTTAAAAATTAAATTCATTTTAGAAAATTTCCATGAATCTCATACACATTATGTTTTTACCTTATGAATTGGGCAAGAAGACAAACGCATAGTACATTATATGTATGCACAGGTAAATAAGTGCATATATATTTACAAGTATACATATGTATATCCTATGAAAGTTTCAAGAGAATATTAATTCTCTTGAAACTTATAGAGATTTATATATATATATATTTATAGAGATTTATATATATATATATTTATAGAGATTTGCTTGTGCGTCAGGTGGATTAAGTATGTCGATTTTGGTATGACAAGTTGTATTACGATGGATTTATTTAATATCATGTTGTATGTATGTATGCATGTAATACCAATTTGTTTAATTAGTTCTTTAATTATTTCGGAGAAGTAATTAGAGAATTATATGGGGTTTAACTTACTTATCATTAAGCATGGGTTACTGTAACTCGGTTACAAACTTATTTACTAATGGATTTACATACGTAAATATTTGAATTCAGTAAATTAAAATTCGAATGACTTGCCAAACGCAAACACATTATTTGGAAGGGCGTAAGTCATTTAGCGTCGCAGAATTCTTGTCGGGTTGAGAGAATTATGTACATATGGATTTACATAGGTATTTACATATTTAGGTAAAGTTTAACGATAGTATGATATATTATTACTCACTTATATATATGTGTATTTTTATTAATTTCGAGAAATTTCAGGTATACATTTATATATTCATACTCCTTTGCCTTTAAGCCCTTAAATCCATTTACTTTGTATGCATATATAATTCGATGAGAAAAACGGATTGAAACGTACATACATAAATCCCGTTCGTGTTTTCATCAAGTTCAAAGCCGATTTAAAGTTTAATAGACTCATGACTGGAAAAAGGTGACCCAGATGAAAACTTATTTATATTGTTGGCAATGGCTACTACTGAGGATGAGTTTGATATTAGAAATAATTAAGCAACTGTATAAGAAAAATGAAATGCTAAAATTAAATATGATAATCCGGTCTAAATCAGCTTTTTTGGAGAAAGTTTTAATCAGCCAAAAAGATCTGTTCATGTTTTTCGCCCCTTTGAGTGGGTGTGGTGGGTGCAAATTGGGGCATGGGCTAAACCCCTTCTTCACTTTTGTTACACTCATAAAATATTACAAGTCCCGAGGGCATCAAAATCTGTTATTGTCCCCCGAAGTGTACAGGAAACCCAAAAAAATAACTATGAACTTGACAGGAGTGTGTCTTGTCTCGTATAAAATAAAACAACACATTGAAAATATGTAATTTTTATTTTTTGTTAATTTCATAACATGGGGTCATATACACGACAAGGAAGTTTAATTTGGATAAGCTTTATAAATTTCCCAACGCTGCCTCAAATTGGAAGAATTGCATGGGGCACAGGTCGCCTTACTCGCTCTAAAATAATTAGAAACAAAAATTAATCACACTTTTCCCACAAAAAAATCATTATCGCAATTTCCCACCCATTATTGGACATGCATCGCCCCGACATCTTATTCTTTATCGTGTAAGTCGAACCCGTTGTACCAATTCGAATACCAATCCAATTCTGGCTCAATCCCCCGATATCACCCTGAAAAAAGAAGACATCATCAAACTTTAGTCATCACGACAACCCTCTCGATCCTACAATCACTATACATTTTTAATACCCAAAGCGTTAAAACAGTATTCGCCTGTCTTTCATGGATCGTCTTTACAGTGCCGCCATCTTGCGCCCAAGTCCAAATTTTTGCACCCCGAGCCGGGTCGAAGAAGGCGTCTAGATAAATATGAAACAAATTAAATTTCTAAAAATGCGAAATTTCGACAAAATTTTTATTCTGAAACATATTATTCCGAACTTACACCAATCGATGGTCCACCTTTGTGTGTTGTTGTTCCCCCACGCCGAAGTAACGAGGTCTTGGCCCTCATAAACAATTCCCGTGCTCACGTCGAGGTACTATGAAACAAATACTTTAAAATTATTGCTAAAATATTGATATTACTTAAAATCTCCACCTGTGCATTATAGTGGCTCTTGATCGAAACTCCTTGCGTTCCTGGGCAGTACATATTGTTAATTTTCCAAATATCCGAATTACTCATTGTATCTCTATTCCCAATGATGGCTCCAGCTTGTTTCGGGACGATTGTGTCGAGACCATTTTTACTGAAGTATTTGCTACCGTAATGCATAATACTCGAATAGTCGTACGCTACCCCGAAGGGAGATATGTAGGAAGTGTCATAACTTCGGAACGCTCCTTCCCTCCCTAAATATGTAGGTCGGAAATTAAAATTTGTAATTGGGCGCAAATTAAATATGTATCTATTTGCCCCACCTGGCTCAATGTTGCCCCAATTTATGGTCACATATTTGTCTCTGTCCGTCCTACTCTGTTCGTGAAAGAAGCCGATGGTGTGCATCATCTCGTGCACGATTGTCCCCAAATAGTTACACCCATTCGCCAAGGATATATATTGACGTCCACCTATTCGCCCGACATGCGCACTGCACCCGTTAACTTGATTTACCTCGACGTAGGAATATTCCGTATATCTGGGTTTGAAACGGATGCATGTTCGTCCAGCGATATAGTTGATCGCGGATTGGAAAACGGTTCGGTAACTGGATGCTGAATAAAAGTTTTGGTTAGTACATACTCAAGCGCAGAGGGGCTGTCCATAAATTATGTGATGAGTGGGAAGGGAGGGAGGGAGGGAGGGAGTGGGGATAGCCCCACTTGTGGATATGCTATAACAGGGTATTCCGCGTAACCAGGGTGGCCAGGGTTCTGAAAAAGCGGCATTTTTGCGTGACATGATTTATGTACATATGTTCCCAGAGAAAAAAAAAAGTAATTTAAATTACGAAAGGTTGACACAAACTGGTATGGAATTGTAGCAGATGGCCATCGTCTTGCCGGACTGAGGAGACCGGCTCGAGTAAGGGCTGGGATTGGGCCTAGAATGTCCCCTTCAAACAGGTCACCCTCCTCGGGATTTCGAACGGTTTTCCCTTCGAAAAAGTCACCCTCCTCGGGATTTCGAACAGTTTTCCCTTCGAAAAGGTCACCCTCCTCGGGATTTCGAACGGTTTTCCCTTCGAAAAGGTCACCATACTCTGACAAGGGTTTGGAATCCTCCTCTACGCGGAAAAAAGGAAGTTAAATTTGTGAATTATTTGCTTTTGGTATAATAATGCTGACCTATCGATGTTGATTCCACACATGTCGCAATGGCAATAAGGAAACATAATTTCAGAAGTGTTTGCATATTTATTTCTTAGAGTTTGGCTAACTTGACAAAGGAGTGGATAATTCAATATGGTGACTGAATTTGAGTTCAGGATTTACTGTAGTTTTATAGAGATTTGCTCGTGCGTCAGTTGGATCATGTATTAATTAGTTCTGTAGAATTATGATGTGACAATTTGTATTATGACATGACGGATTTATTTAATATCATGTATGGACTGGTCACTGATTGAAAGTGTCAAGGTTCCCCCTATTATTTTAACCACTTAAAAATTAATTTTGGACATGTAAAAAAGCATAAAAATTGGAAATTTGATAAGATTTCTAAAACTGAAAACCGAATTTGATTATCTCTTTTCGTTAAAAAATGACAGCACAAAATTTCGAGGAAGTGGAAAAATTAGTTTGCCACTAGGTAAAAAAAGTGTTTTTCTCGAATCGGAAAAGGGTTCGTGACCACTTCATTCTTCAAGGGATGCCCCCGACAAAATTAGTCATGAATTAGACATATCTAAGTATCGTAAAAATTCGAAATCTAAAATTTCCTCGGGTCAACCTGTCCGCCTGAAGACCAATACATTAACGAGAAACGTGAAAAATCTTTTGGGGACAACCGCAACATATCCGCGAGGGCTGCACCCGGAAAACTAAAAATTTCAAAAATCTATCTTCGCAGGATCAAAGCCAATAAGATGGGCTTCAGAACTTGCAGCACTAAAACCGCGACAAAATACAATGAAGATAACAAAGCCGGAGCTAAATCAATTTGTGGAAAACTTGTTGAGAAAATGTTAAAATTGACTCCCATAAGTTTCTCGTCGTGGATGATGAAAACTGCTGCTCCGTTGACCTCGAAGCGTCAATGGTGTAATCTTCTACTCATGTTGAAGTAAAAATGACGTTCGTTCGATTTATAAATTCACAGCCAAGCAAAATTTCCAATGAATTACATAAAATGGCCGGTGTTGTCGCCGTGAATAATTTTACTTATTTGAATAATGATATAATTTTAGCTGATAAATTTTAAGGTTTAACTGTATGTAAATTAATGATTTGAGATATTGGGCATGGGCAATGACACATTATGAAACAGTTTTATGAATATGAAATTCTAGTATGTATGTATGATGGAAAATGCTTGTGTAACAAAAAGTCAAGACAAAGTCGTATGTAAACTCGGGCCACTATTTAGCCAATGAATGTAAATGTAAAGGTGATGTGGCATCAAGAAAAGAGGAGTTTTTAGTCAGGGAAAAGAAGAAAGAAATTCAGACCCAATCGAGCCGAGGAGGAGGAAACTTACCTTCAAACTAACAGCCAGCTTTTAAAATATTTCTCGATATTTTTAAACAACTAAGGTCTCATGTCGATATAAGTCAATCTACGAGTAATCGCCCTATGTAAAATAAAGCTCCGTTTTGAGTTTGTAAGCCCAATTCAAGTAGTTTTCGCGTATCATTTCGCACGAGTGCATTTACGCCTACTTTCGAACTCGGCATAATAAGACGGAGCCACCCCCATCACCATCAATAAGTTCCTGAGGTCAAGCTGAGATATCCCCCCAATGAGCAGACAGCTCACGCCCCAAAAACAGCCGGAGATCGACAAAAATGGGAAGGTCTCAAATCCATTCGCTACTACAAAGAATGTGAACTTTGAACTTTATTTTAAAGAGTGTATCATCGAAAGATTGACCCCCTCTATCACAAACAAACGCGTTCTATTTTGGTCTGAAATGGGTACGTGCTAGAATGCCAAAATAATGGCAGGGTACCATGAAGTCAAAAAAACTGATTTCGTCGAGAAAAATGATATCGCTCCAAAAGTACCTCAATGTCGCTCCATTGACTGATTCTGGGCATTAACTTAGAAACAATATACTTTGAAAAAAAGGACACCAACAAATTTCAAAAAATTTTGACGGGTTATGAAGAAAGTGGTTATAGAAGTTGGTAAAATGAGTGGCAAACCGCTCATGAGAGGCATGCGACAAAGCCGTCTCTCCACCGGCAGGGAAGGGGTATTTTGACCATTGAAGGATAAGAAAGCTTCGATCTGGTCATCGTTAGTATTGCACCAAAGTTTTAAAACATTTGATTCATGCATTCGTTTTTTGTAGGTCAAAATAAGTTGACACTTTCAATCAGTGACCAGTCCATAAATATGTAAGGACGGTTTACTGTTACGGATACATTTAATTGTTTCGGAAAAATTGATAATTAGGGGGATTTTACTTATTTACATATGTATGAAATACGTATGGCTTAGTGGAAAAATCGAAGAGAAGGTTTGCTTTATTTTGTCAATATTTCGAATGCTATCTGCAATTCATTAACAAGACATTTATAAACAAATTATTTGGAAAGGTTTACATAAGTCATTTACGGTCCCCAGAATTCTTGTTGGACCTAATAATTATTAAAATCTGAATAAAAGGATTTTAGAGGCAGTTATGTAAAGCTTTACGACGGTATAAATATTATTTACAGTTGTCAATTCCAAGAATTTTCAGTTGTGCTTTTATGCATTCATACTCCTTTAATTCCTTAAAGCCCTTTAGTTTATACACATATGTGCATATAGTTGGGTGATAGAAAATTGGTTTGCCAATTGCGCATCTCAGCTAAATACATATTATATTTATATATGTAAATACATACACTCAAAACAAAATCGTAACCAAATCAATTCCGGGCGGTGTCCCCATGTGACTTAACCGAATCGGAAATAATTCAACTACACCTCATAAGTAAAGCCATCTTGAAACTAATTTGTGTAAGATTTACACACCTGCGGCTAAGCAACCTGTATGAACATACCAGACTGACGCCCTTCATGTATATTAGCCAGACCTAAATTCACCCCCACGCGGTCACGCATTCCGTCACATATCTGTCAGAAATGCGATTTGAAAATGGCCTGCTCGAATTACTTATACGGTGCCACATTTTAAAATTAAATGCATTATGTTGATAGAAAAATGTCTACGATTTGCCTTCCATTTTTATTTTTAGTTAAAGCATTCATGATAATCCCAGTGTCGTAAATTTGCCAACGCTGTCTCAAATTGGAAGAATTGCATACGGCACAGGTCGCCTTATCGGCACAAAAAAAGAATAAAAATGAACATTCCAAATATTGACAAATAAAGGAAACTTCTATCTTTTTTCGCTGAAACTCCGTGTAATCAAAATTATTATTTATTTGTGATCAGGCAGGATAGCGGATTTCGCCCACCCTGGGACATACATATGTATGTATGGCGTATTGCTGGCGTATGCATAATGTTTGAAGTATTAAATACGTTGTAAATTCAAGTATTCATTTCTTCCTCATCCGTCCATAAAATTTAGCTGATAAGGGTAACAAGTATGTATGTATGCATTCACAAAAGTTATTTCGTTGTCGACAAGGGTATATTACTTACTTTTGTTGCTGCTAATAATTCCGAGCAATTTTCCAGTACGGATTTATACATATATAAATTTAAATAATCATCAATCATTTAGAACGTGTGGCATCAACATTTCGCCTAAATGTGAAATATGTCAATTATTTAACGACCTCATAATTATATCTAGTTTTCTTGAAACTAACTTCAAAATATTTGTACATCAGCTAAAATGAAACCTTTACATCTTCATAGTAAAGTCGACGTGACTCTCATGACCTGCTTACAGGTACACCGTTCATTTCTTTAGCGTAAGCCGGATCTAAATTCAATCTTTCATTATGGAAAATAGAAAATACGGTTTGATTGTGGCCCCATCTATTGTGAAACTGACTCTTTTTTGCTGAGGATCAGTAACACCCTAAAATTCCACAAGGTTGTGAAGTAAATGTATTTATGACTGCAAGACCAAAGCTAATTTTAAATAAACCTTACTGTATTTGGGGGGATTTATTTATTTATGCACTACCACATTTTGCACTAGAATATATAGTACACATTTGGACAAAAATATTTAATATTTATTTTCCACTTTTAGTCTTAACAAAAGCACGCATGATATATTACAATGCTGTAAATTATTAAGGGACAGCTGCATAAATTTGCCAACGTTGTCTCAAATTGGAAGAATTGCATGCAGCACAGCTCGCCTTATCGTTACTAATACAAGCAAAAATAAAAACAATTAGGCTCAGTTTCCATACAAAATCATAATTATAACGAGTTCCTAACCCATTGTTGGACAAGCATCGGCCAGACATCTTGTTCTTTATGGTGTAAGTCGATCCAGTGATGTGAGTTGCGATCCAGTACTGGTTACTTCCTCCGTTTTCACCCTGAGATGCCAACATTTATATAGTAAGCAAGTCAGTGAGTTATCATTTGTAAGTTATAAATACATAAGTAACGCTATACCCAAATAGTTACACCAGCGTTTTGCTGGTTTTCATCCATCAGCTTGACACTTCCACTAGTCTGAGCCCAAGTCCAAAGTTTGGAGCCACGCGATTGGTCGTTGAATGCAGCTAAACATGGAAAAATTCAAATTTGTTTGAAATTCCAGAACTTATATGCTGATGGTTATTATAACATACACCAATCCAGAGTCCACTTCTGGTTGTCATTGTTCAACCACGACCAAGTAAGAATGTCTTGCCCCTCGTTAGCAACTCCAGTCCTGACGTCGAGATACTAACATACGTGCATGCGTAAAATTATGTATATTAATTATTATCCGACCATTTAGACACATGATATACGATGGATCCGACCCGACCAGACCCGATTTCCGGATCGGGTTGGATCGGGTCGGGTCGGATCGGGTCGGGTCGGATCGGATCTATTAACATAATACATAGAAATTTTACAGCCTCACTTGTTCATTAAATTCACTCTTCATTCGAACTCCCTGTGTTCCTGGGCAGTACATATTATTAATTTTCCAAATATCCGAATTGCTCATGGAATCCCTTTGCCCCAATTTGGCGCCACTTTGTTTCGGAACGATTGTTGCGAGGCCATTCTTGCTGAAGGCGGTGCTACTGTAGTGCATCAGACTCGAGTAGTCGTAAGCCACTCCGAACGGAGAAATGTAGGATGCGTCATAGCTATCGAAATTTCCTTGCTTCCCTAAATTCGTCAGAAATTGCAATTTTTTAGCGCAATTTAAATTAACTTCTGGTTTCCCCACCTGACTCAATATTGCCCCAATTAATGGTGACATAATTATCTCTGTCCGTCCTGCTCTGTTCGTGCCAGAAGCCGATGGCGTGGATCATCTCGTGCACAAATGTCCCCAAACTGCCACACCCATTCGCCAAAGATAAACCTTGTCTTCCTCTGATTCGCCCGACAGCCGAACTGCACCCATTGCCCTGGTTTAACTCGACGTAGTCAGATTCGGCTTGTCTGGTTTTGAAACGGATGCAGGTTCGTCCAACGACATGGTTTATGGCGGATTGAAATAGGGTTCGGTAATTGGATGCTAAATAAAAGTTTTGGTTAGTACATGCTCAAATTTTTGAAAATGCTGAGCAAAGAAATTGAAAGTTATACGAAATGTGGAGGTAAACTGGTACGGAATTGTGGCAGATGGCCATCGTGCTGCAGGATTGATGATACCAGCTCGAGTAACGGCTGGCAGGGGGCCCAGAATGTCCCCTTCAAAAAGGTCACCCTCCTCGGGATAGTCAACGGTCTCCCCTTAACAGATAATGGAATAGTTGAAATTTTGAACGATCTGCTTTAAGTATGTAAGGAAATGTATTTACTTACATACTGGCGTTGCTCCTACAAGTGCCGTGATGGCAATGAGGAAACATAAGTTCAGAAATATGCTCATATTTCGCCTTCTGAGTTTTCAAATTCGGAAATGAATAGATAATATGCTGCTAGGCTTAACACTGATTTGAATTTAAGATAACGGGGTTAATTTTATACTGGTTTTATTATGCTTTAGCGAGAAGTGTCCATGCGTCAGTTTTATTCCCAAACTAATTGATTTTTATTGGGGTGGATTTATGTAATTTAATAAAAGTGACATCATATTCAGGATACCGCAAGCCGTCGAAGTATTTCTGAGAAACGTTTACTTATTTTCTTGCTTGGATCACTTTTATAAAGCGACTTATGTATTTATTTCATTCAATAAACTAAAATTATGATGAAGTGCCGAATATTGTGTAACAGAATTATTGGACTTAAGTAATTTATGGTGGCAATATTCCTGTCGGGTTTGGATTACTTTGGATAACTGAGGAAAAGAGTTTAGGGATATTCATGGCTGGGCAAGATAATGGGAATGCCCCCTTACTTATAAGACACACATTTGTAAGTAAATCTGTACATATTTGCTTACTTCCTTGATAATATTCAAAATTAAAGTTCAAGAAATGTCTGATGCAAGCTTAATATGGTTACTTGATTTCAGTAATTTTTTCACCGACTAGTAATACGAAAATGCATACCTTACCAAATTTTATAACAATTTGAGGCCAATTAATGTGTTGCGATTTTGAAGTAGGTATGTATATGTATAATGGCATTAATAATCCTTGCTCTCTTCTCAAAATCTTTAACGTGCACACTTATTAGATATCTAAAGATCCAATGCTATAATGCGGTATTCAAATATGATTCTACCAAAGTGGTATTGATAAGGAATACCGTGTAGTAATGACTCAGGATTAAAGTTTAACCACATCGTAGAAAATTTTTACGGACTGGTATAATTTTAATACTAAGCGGCAGCAACCTTACGGATATTACTGAGAAATTAATACCTGCGTGACTATTTACATGTACCAAATTTCTAACAGTGTACATATGTATTTATCGTCAAGGTACCATATCTCGCCCACCATTGGACATATTACTTGCTTACGTGTGAGTATTATGTTGCGAATTAGAGGTATGTATATGTAATTATTTCCTCATCCAGGGAATTGAGCTGATTAGTGCGGTGTGATTTATGCCTTAAATTTACCATTCATCCACTTGGAAATGTGTAGCTATCCCGCTATTGACACAAAATATTGCTCAATTATATTACCAATTCCGAGAAATTATGAAGGGTGCATTTACCTATGTCATATGTATGTGTGCATGTATCTAACTATATAAAAGTACTTCACGTTTACTTCATCATTTTAATTTCTCTAAAATGGCTAGAGACGCATGATTGAAATATACAACTTGCATTGGGTAATTTGTATTTGAGCCTGCTAATTATGCTCATGGAAATTTCCAAGTACTCTATCCTAGTACACCATAATATGTATGTATTATGTGAGGAGGATTCCTACCCATAGGGGTAGACATCCAGCTGCGCAGGTCACCAGTTGGACCTATTGCAGACACCTCAATGCACTCGCATGCGATTATTGTGTCGGAGCCTCTCTCGATTCCCCAGCTACAAAGCTGGCGAATCTGCCAGACCTTAAAAAGGCCAGCACGTCTTTGAGAGGATACTCCCATACTTCCTCCACCCTTAAGGTAGAACGAAGGAAGGTCCTAAATCTCAGGGCACTGTAAGCGGGACAGTCTGTAAGTATATGAGCCATTGTCTCGTCCCCTTCCCCGCATTCCTCGCAGATGGGAGATTCAACTAGACCCATCTTATACAGATGCCCATTCAAATTACAGTGTCCTTAATACATACATACACCATAATATGTACATAAGTTATATTTCATTATTTAGACATAAATCATAGTTGGATGGGATTCATAGTTGATACAAACAAGTAAATATAAGTCCTATGAATTCATTGAATCATTGGGATGGAAGTTGAACGTTAGAAAATCGTAATTGTGATGATCTTCTGATCTTCAGAGGTCAACCCCGCTGATCGGACGGCGGTAGAATTTTACGCGTTTCGGCCGCCGATAAATCTGATTTCGTATTCTTACAAAATTGGGGCGCCTCGCCACTGAGAAATCATGCAAAATTGGTACCGCCGCCATCAAATTGGTCGCGTTGACCTCAGCTTCGTGGTACAAAATGATGAAATTATTTCTTCACCAAATAAAATGGATCATTTCCAGTCCGGGAAATAAATTAAATGTGTACGTATTTATGCACTTGTAACTATGCTACATGCATCATCACTGCATATTTAGAATACAACATTTAAACACAACATTTAAAATTTGTATAAAATTAGTGTAAAATTTATGTTTATTTAATTCCTCTCTAATTCAGTGTATAAAATTTAAGCTAATTTTCTATTTACGTAATCATGCCCAATAAAATCTTAAATTCATAACGAATTGCATAAACCATGAAAATTTCTTAAAATGTAGTAGTCCTCAATTGAATGCAGGTTGCCATGAGAAGAGGTCGCCATTGCAAGAAATTATCGACATATGTCAACCATGGGGTACACTTATCTAACGGTCCATTCAAAATGGTGTGATATTCCTTTAACCCAAACAGTTCGTCTTGATCAATCTTATACGACGAGGTCATCTTTGTCCATGATTTGTGCAGAGTTTCCAACGCAATCGTCTCCCCTTGGGTCAAAGTCTTGGAAAGTTTCTCAGAATTGTAGAATTTTATGAATTCGACGAAATCCGAACGAGTTGATTTCCGCAACCGTTTGAATGTCGTTCTTGCTTCGGTTACCGTTTTTGGAATGGTGGTCACACCGCTATTATTCTGCGGAAGTAAAAATTTTTACTTTGTTTGCTAAGAAAAAAAATTTTCAGCAAATTTTGTATAACTTTACGAATTTCATAAAAAATTCTGTGTTTACAAACCTCTCCAAAATTAAAGGACATTTTTATTAAATATGTCGAAAATCTTAAGCTGATTTATTGGCTTTACATATTTTTGTTAACTTGAAAATTTTACGAATTTGTAAAACGTGCTGGGAATTTAATATCTGTATTTTTGTGATTAAATTCTAAACTTGATTAATATTTAACTCAATTTGACGACTCATTATAAAAATACGGAAGCGTATGGAAAAAGTTTCACGGACACGCTGAGGTTGAGGCTGGTGGAATGATGGAAAAAAGTTGTATTTATTTCCTTGTCTTTGATTTTATACATGTTTTGCATATTAAAAAATCCTGATTCATATGTCTGCTCTCATTTCTCGAAGTTTCGTGTTTGTCCATAGACGAAGGAACCTGAAACATTTTGCATACTCCTGTCTCAAGAGTAATCCGATCTATTCGTGAATGAATTAACTACAGTATATATGTATCAATATTTATCACGGTATTAAACTGCAATATGTATGTATATATTATGTACACATATGTACATACTCCAAACTTGTAGATTAATTTCATTACCAAATAGTTCTTGAGAAATGAGCAAAACCCCCTTTCCCACCGCATGTCCAGAGGCAATTACATACATCTCTATCAATTAGCTAATTAGTAACATTATGAATTAAGTAATTGTAAATACAGATATGTTCATATTAATACTGTATCCGGGTATATGTCAAATTTGTGACAAATGTGAACTCCATGTATGGATGCATTTTATTGCTGTTGATACCCGGGTATCTTAGGGACATACCCCTAAGAAAATAGTTTGCTAATGGAAATTGCCAATTAGCAAAGCAAACCATCGTTTCATGGTAGGACACGGAAATCCTAAAATGTGGCAGTTCTTCACTAATCCTTTTGTCCTGATGGCGCAGACAGCACTTTCTAACAAATCGATCCCCACGAAGATCATCCCGATTGTAATCCCACCACGCCCATTTCCCGGATTAAGCAGTCAACTCCTCCCATTTTTCAAATTCGCCCGTTACATTGCCAGATGCCCGATTAAGTTTAAAAGTTGCCGGAATAAGTCTCAAGCTGATTATAAATTCGTAACATGCAGTGTCGCGTTATTTTTCTCGTTATTTTTAGCAATTTTTCTGAATATCTGTTTATACATAAGTATTTTGAAATATGGAGACATTGTCACGCATGACCTGTTCCTTGGAGAAGATGCGTGAGTGAAACACATTTGCTTTTTAAACATGTATTTATTCTGATATTTCACTCTGAAAAAATTCAGTGTTAAAATAATACCAAGCGGTATTCATAAACATATGATTACTAATTTTTCAACCAAAGTTGGTATTGATGAGTAATACCGTGTAGTAATATCTAATATCTCAGTATTAAAGTCTTGCTATTTCGGTAGATAAATGATTTTACACAACGGTGTAAGTTTAATACCAAGCGTTAGCAACTTTAATACCGAGAAATCAATACTTGCCTGACTTTACCAAATTTTTAACAATGCAAAAATCTAACAAATTAATGATTTTTCATTATTTTTAACTAAAATTTCAGTTGGCCACCACCCAACCCAATAAGTGCCGAAATGAAAAATCGCATTGGTGGCTTCATCTACGGATTGATTTGGTCCTTCGCCCCCGTGACCGCTCTTGTTGTTTCAATCGATTACACACTAGCTTTTCTGAAAGCACCCGAGTTGGCGAAATGGCTAAATAATTGGAATCTCATTGAAGACGAAATGCTACAACTTGGCTTTAATCGAGACAAAATTAAAATTACCACGTTTTCCCGCTACTTTATTCCCTTGTTTGAATTTGTTCCATCAGTGATTTTGGGAAGTTTAGAGTTGATATGGATTTTCGATATCCGATATCCGATTCATTGCGTGATAAGCATTATTTATGCTTACGTTCCAACCCTGTGTTACTCTGTTGAAGATTCTAAAGCCCTCCTAATGCTGAAATGTCTGCAGGTCGGGTTTCTTCAGGTGGGAATTTTTTAACTCAATTATTAATGTTAGTAATTCTCGAAATTTCGAAATTTTTTGCAGGTGCGCAATCATCTCGAAAAAAGCTTAAATATCGACCGAGGCCAAATCCCCGTTCGTAACTTGCACCTCTTTTTGATCAAACTTCGCCTGCAAGCCAAGCAATGTGGCGATTACTTGGCGACGCAGCAACTCGTCTCGATTTTGATGACTATGTACACCACGGCGGCGTCCTGCTTTTTATTCGTGGCCGTTCTGAGTGACCATTCTTTGGGCGATACGACGGAAGAGTTGCTCACCATGGCGTTTGCCTCGACGTGGCCATTTTTCGGGATTAGTCGACTCTACGTCAAGGTTTGGATGGGGGTCAGGGTAACTAACGAGGTGAGGAAGAAGTCGTTATTGCGAAAATGGTTGATATGCTAACCAGTGACGGCGGAAGGGGAACATTATCCTCCCAGAAATTCAGAACAATGTTATCTTCCCTAATTCCTATATTAATACGCCCCTCATCCTCCTATGTTAATGTCCCAATATGTCGCCCCAACTTCCGCCGCCACTGATGGTGACGGATGTTGTTTGGATTATTTCCCAGGAAAAGGAGATCGCATCCTTAATTAAATTGGAAACACTTAAAGAGGAAATATTCGGGACGGAGTATTCAAACGAGGTATGTACACGTGCATATATGTATATTTCATTGTACCTGGATACATACCTGCATATGCAAAATTTGCGTACACTTGACAATATTTTCAGGAACACGTTAATCGGGGTATTCATTAAGAGTTTGCATGTTTGCATCGAAACATATGAGCAATTTTGAAAAGAATTGCGAACTATGTAAATTTTTGCTTTGGAGATGCGCAAGTTAACAAATAATTTTTCAAACCAGAATTTTTTGCGAACTTTGCTTTTTTTTGCTGACGCTGATAACGATGCGAAATTGTAGTGGATAACCCAAATGATTTCGTGTTCGTGAGCACAAATAGATATATGTTTTTTTTAGCTTAGGGAAATTTACAAGCTGTTGACAAATCATCCCACAGAGGTTTCTTTCAACAACTATGTCAAATTAAACAACCCGTTAATCTTGGGGGTGCGTTGAAGTTTACTAAATTTTGAAATTTTGAAATTGGAACCAAATTTTTAACTGGAATGTTTCAGGTTTTTCAACAGATTTTTACGGCTTTTATAATTCTGATGCAGTTTCGGAAATAAGATGCATATACATATATGTTCCTCATAGGAACGAAGGTGAGACGTTGACTAATATGTTGAATTTATTGAATAATGAAACAATTAATAAATATTTACTTAATATACGTACATTTACATATTTATATTTAAGTTACACATTCTCCTTAGAAAATTTATTTCCCATTAATTTATAATTGATTAGTTAATATCTAATTAGATTGTCAAATAGTTTCCGTAATCATTTCAATGGTTATTAATTAATTAAGGTAATTAAAAATTAAAGTAATTAATAACGGAGCACTCCCTCTACAACTCTTTTTTTACCTTTGCTTAAGGCCGAGGAATCGCATGCTAATTTTATGAAAATTTTGGATTGGATTCCTCCAATGCTCTATCATGAAGTTTATAATTCCACCCCCACCTAAATATGTAAATTACGCTACGGATATTAGACTCGATTAAACCATTGATTTTGCTATCCGGAAAGAAATTGTCACAAATGTTCTCCATTATCTTCTTAACCAGTAATTTTGGCCTTCATAATTATAATGTCAGATTTTAAAAAATGCTGAAAATTTTTGGAGAATTTGGGCAGATATACATATTTATTTATACATATTTACATTAAAGATTCGTTGTACTGATTCTCGGCAAAAAAACTTACTAAAATCGTAAGTTAAATTTAATAGAATCGCTTCCTTATGAAATAAATTATTGGACTTATCATGCTATCGCTATAAGATAACCAATAGATAAAAAGAGCGTAATGATGACTGATGTCATATCCAGCCCCGCACATAGTGAAAGCTACCAGCATCACGATAAAGGGCAGATGACACGCGACTGTAAATTCAAAGTGTACAATTAGTGCCGAATTATTCATGAGGGCGTGGCCGTGATTGCAGTACATATGACAATGAGGGTATTCAGAATTCCTTCGTATCCTTAATGTTCTTCGTATCGTAAAATAAGCTACGAGGGTTTGGGTTACGAGATTTTGTAAGCGTAGTAAGATTTTGTCACGTCAAAATCACGGTACCAACTGTACCAAGGTTACAAATCTTGACCCTTTAAGAAAAAACCTGGGGTCATTCTTCGAAAAAATTCCTACTCGATTTTTAATGGCAAAATCTTACCACGACCACAAAATTTCGTAACCTTTGCAACTTATTTTTTTATATGAACAGTCCTAAGGTTACGAAGGAATTATGAATATCCCTTTTAATTATATTCTGTAACTTTTCTCGAGTATCACAAAGCAAGTTAAGACAGTTACGAGATTTTGTACATATTCGTAAGCGTCGTAAGATTTTTACATCATAAGGTAGCGATTTTAATTAAGTTTGACACCTTATTTTTTTTTCTTATGTATACTAAGGATCCCAAGGTATTGTGAATACTCTCAATACGTACCTGTAACGATTCCTAAAATTTGAGCTGTCTTGCGTTCTGTTTTGGATTTTTCTGTGTTGGGTTTTCGCGACTCTCCAATAATCGTATCGCTAGAGTCGTTTTGTAGTAGAATTTGATCGAAATGAGGTCGCTCCGTTTCAGAATTTCTAATCCGACACGGTTGTTCACTTCCGGTATAAGGTTCTTCACCTTCAAGAGTTTTTCGTACATCCACCGAGACGGTTTCATCTTGACCTGAAGAAATCGTGGTGATTAGGCTAGTTTCTGCCGTACTTTGTGTGAGAAATCGTCTTTTTTGAACTTGCATTCTTTCTGCTCGGAAAATCTTCCAGGATAAAAACAGCACGACTACGAGAGGGATGATGAACGATGAAAGCGTCGCAAATATCATCTGCAAATAAATGTTTATAAATGTTACACTTAGTCGTATGCAGATAAATGTTTACTCGGCCGGTATGTTTATTACGCATACATAAGTATTAGCATTTTCATAGATTGGGATTAATGATTTTTTGTAGGATTAAGGTTTAAGGGGCCGTTCATAAATTATGTAAAGCAAAAATCTCGATTTTCTCCACCCCCTTCCCCCCTTTGGCATGTTGTACATGTATTGGGACGATATCATTGCAGCCCTGTACCACCCCTTCCATTCCCCATCTCGTGGTACCTAATTTATGAACGGCGCTTAAGGACTAATGTTATTCCGGGATTAGGTTAATCTAGGGTTAATTAAATAATGCAATTTGCTGAGGTTCTTTAATTCGGAATTAAGGATTAAAAAGTTAAAATTTCGCAAGAAATGCTTGTCAATACTTACAGAATGCTCGTCTTGGTTCACGGTGCACACTTCCGCTTCAATACGAGCATTCCAGGTATCATCCTCCCAAAATAATTGAGTCATTGTTATCACCAGAGCCAGCACCCACACGACTACATAAATAGAAAAAGTTTCAGTATCACTTAATGAATTATTATTAAAACTGTATTACTTATTAGCGTGGTCCGCACGCGGCGTGACGCGGTTCGGTTGACGTACTCAATATTCTTCAGGGACCAGTATCTGCGTCAAATATGAGACATTTGCCTTCAATGTGAAAATTATTTCGACTCATCCTCAGTCAGGCTAAGGCTAATTTGGGTTTGTAATTGTAAAATTAAATTTAAACTGTAACAAACTAAGGTTTGCTCTGGATCATAACATAGCATGCTTCTCAGAATTGAGAAAATCTCGTGCTGTAAATCTCATCCAAGAATAAGCTAACAGAAATCCGTACTCAAAGTTCGGGACAATTTTGATTGAAAACCGATCAGACTTCGTGAGAGTGTGAGGAAGTTTTCCAAATTAATATTTTAAAAATAAAAAAACTGGTCTGACCATTCATGTGGAAAGTTTAAACTGAAAATTGCCTCCCGTCATTGAATTATACTAAAAAACGATATCAAAGGAGGTGACTTTGTGACCGATATTAAATAGAAAACAGTTCTTACCGATCCACTGCAATAGCTGCGACGTGTAACATTAACGCTGGAATTTAAACCAGTTTTCATTACTAGATAGCATTGTTTAAAATATATCTTGTCATGTACATCTAATGTTATAATTTTGTGATAAATTGTAACCAACAACATAACGAGTCATACATATGTACCAAACTAAACACAAATACATTAATGGGTACGTAATACTTGAAGAAAATTATAATTAATTATCTCACCTGTACCGGCCAGAACATCACAGGACAGCCACGTTATGCAACCCCATTCTCCATACGGCCAAGCCTTTGACATCTTAAAAGGAGGATATACGTGTATTTTACTCGGTTATACAGAAAATTAAACTTCACTCCTTGCGTCAAGTGTTATTTTGTCATTTGAGTCTTCAATTGTCAAAATAAATTGCATTAAAATGGGAGGTGGAACTATTATCTGTAATCTAACCTACACTGTTAGAAATCCAGTACAATCTCATAAGTACTGAATTCTCGGTCTTGTCATTAAAATTACCAATCCGGTAAAATTTGCCACCGATATGTAAACTTTAATGCACGGTATTAGTTATCAATATCACGTTGGTAGAGTCATATACGAATACCGCTTGGTATTATTTTAATACTGGATTCTAAGAGTGTGTATGAGTAGAGTAAAACTTTTACTAAATTCAATTTTTATGTAAAGAGATGGGAAATTTCCTGAATTTGATATCAATGTTATTTCAGATCAGATAAAGATTTTTCGCATCTACATACACATACATTTTCAGATCAGATCAGATATACGATTATCTGATCGGAACTAATTTCGGTGACATCATATAAGTACAAAATTCAATCACTTACTTCATACCCTGCAGCAAATGGAAGAACAGTACACCCAACGATAAGGTGAGCCACTGTCAGAGAAAAAATCAAGTAGTTTGGAAGGCTGCGCAAATTTGTGTCGATCCATATTGCCACCAGCACGGCAACATTACCTGAAAAACAGCAATATTGAGAACGTATTTATCGTCACATGCATTGTTTCATTTCTGCATTCACAGTGAAAATAATTGATGATAAGTATAGATTTATTTGTGAAACCTTACCCGCAACCGTGACCAAGGCAAGTAATCCAAGAACGATTCCCACTCCAATTGAGGAAACAAATTCGTCTTCGTCACCATTTTGTGTATCGTTCATGTGACGATGTAAGCATTCCAGATAAGATTCGAAGCTGTCATCGTGCTCGTAGGAGTGAAAACCATAAGTACAGTTATCCATTGGAAAAGGAATTCCTTGTCGAAATTCAGATAAAAGTCAGCCGGAGCAAAAGTTAGTGAAATCCAGATAAATAAGAAAACAGTAAATATCTACTCCAATTACATACATATATTTTGTTTGCTGTTTTGATCTGTAAATAACTCGTGATACAATTATGGAACATGTGTACATACATGCATACTATTTTTCCATGTGTATGTGTGACTGTTCAATTTAATTAGCATTTTATAAGCATTTACCGCATTGCGAGAAGCTGCATAAATAGAAACATATATCGCAAAAAATTATGTATATCCACAAAATTGGACAGCGATTTATCAATCGACGGAGAAGCCTCGAAATGACAAATATGTATGCATAAAGTTAGGGTAAAGCCCATGCGAACGAATGTACATAAATATTTATCTGTCTAACTGCTTAAGTAATAGTCTTGAAAAATCTGGTATATTTAGAGTCAAATAAGCAGCATGCATAATTTAAATGCTTCATATGTACATAGATGTGCAAATAATGGTAATAAAAATCACAGGAATAAATACATACCTAGGTAAATAAAATATCATTTATCATGAAATCCTCATGGCGTAAAAATCAAACAAGTTTGAAGCTTACAAGTGTTCACTTCACAGTCATACTTTGTGGATTTCATACCGTGTGTGGATTTCATGGAATGTTTTTGTTGTCGATTTTCTGGGTTCGATCCATCTCCAACTTGATCCGGGGTAAGCGAGAGGTCTCCTGACAAAAATTAAGCACGGATAACGTACTCCACAAAATGAGAAGGATCAACTCAAATTGAGACACAAGTTACGCCTGATAATATTTAGGATTAGCTCATCTTGAATGAAATGAATCGAATTGCGAAATTGCACGCATGCAAATATATTTACAAACTGTGATGTGCTGTTTGCACGAAAAAAAACGTGTAGGAAGAACAGCGTGGTACTCTAAGAAAACATAAGTGCTCCACATTATTATAAAAAGTATGTAGATTTACATATTTTTGTTGTTTCTATTACAAGGATAACCTACAAATTGACCTTGCTATGGTCATGAATACATGGAATTTTTCGTTTTCATGCAACAATTGGAGTATCGATACTCCAATTGTAGCTTATCCTTGTTTTTAATAGAAACAACAAAAATATCGAGAGTGGGAAGGACGCATTCTCTGTTCCTCAGAGATGCATGAAATGAAAAAAATTCAACCTGAATTCGGCAAGTTTATAGTAAATTTAGCAAAAAGTATGCAAATATTAATAATCCATACTTCGCAATATTTAAGTAGTTGAGGTCACTTTATATTATCTCATCAGGTCAGTAATCGGTCACTCTATATATGTCGCCGTGTACCATTTTCACGTGGCTTCACAAATTTTGTGAAGAAACCTTTTTTCCCGTGTCGCCAGGGGTGATAAATATATGGATTTCGTCACCCTTAAGACTCACGTGGTCTCGCATATTTCCACCACCGTACATATTGCGACGCCACAGATGCCACACATGTTGCAAACTTTTCGCCACTGATAGCGTAATTGTGCACTTTGGCGAAATGTTCGTTGGTTGTGGAGGAAAATTTTCGTACACAGTCGAGACACTTGTGGGCATCCCACTTTGAGTCGTTTATTCTTTGCAGCGATCTCTGAAGCCTGGCGACATGCAGATTTTTCATGACCGCGTAAATTATACATGTGCTTGAAGGATTTTCAACACTGTTGGCAAGAATGTCATTTCGCGTCGACGTGGTCTAAATAGTGCGTGAATATAGGGAGTGTAATTTTTATTTATTCCGTATTTCATCCAATTATTCAAATTATTATTATTTAAACATTCACGCTGATATTGTGAGGAGTCAATAAAATGGAAGGCGAAGACCCAATTCAATTTCATGGCATGTTTTTCTGGTCGATTTTCTGGGTTCGATCCAACCTGATCCGGGGTAAGCGAGAGGTCTCCTCACAAAAAAGCACGGACAACGTACTCCACAAAATAAGGCTAGTCTCATTAAAAGTAAAATATGCCAAACGAATGCATTTTATGAGTGCAAAGATGAGATTCAATTCTGATAATTTGCACCTCCTTATAGCTGTATTTAGCTTGTAGTCTGATGTATGTAAATATCTAAATAGTTAGTAATTTAAGTGCTCTAAGCATTTAAAGTGTCTATTTTGGGCTTCCCAAGCTTACATGCATATGCATATTTTGATATTTTAGAATCGTCTCGTCTTTTTGGCCGTTCACGTGGGACCAGAAACGATGCGACTTATATTTACACACGCGCTTTTCCCGGTATCGTTTCTACTGGGTGAAAGTCATGTTCAGCCTGGTCACGTACATACGTACATATTTAATATGTATGTATGTATTATATATGTTCCTGTCGGGGTAGGCTGTGCTGATCCGCCATTTCTGAAATGGGACAGGTGACAGGTGTCACTAAATAATTAGGGGCATTATTCTGTCCGGACTGGTCCAACTGGACACCTACGCAAAAATTGTATCAGTAATTTCTCAGCATTTCGCAACTCGAAGTAATATGTATTGCAAGCAAACTTTTTGTCGTATTGAAGTTAATAAACTGATGAACAAGGCTTGCTCAGAATTTCATAATTGGTGATCGTCCAAAGTTTTTGAGTATTTCTGTAATGCACCAATATATGCAAGTACTATACATAAGTTCGCTCCCAATTTATTGGTGTGTTAAATTCTCACGGGATGGTCCTACACCCCACTGATTATACATGTATATATGTACTGATTTCATTTTATGGTACCTTATAAACAACATGCAAAAAAATTAGAAATTTTCTCGGAAAGCCATTTTCTGTCCATAACATTTGGCCGATCGTGTACAAATGTATGTATTAATTATGACCAAATCATACATGAATACATACGTGCATACGTACACGCACTGCATGCAATATGACGGTATTACGTTGTTGTACGTGTCGTGTCTAATCTAGAATTACTAGTTAATTGATGAAAAACCTTTGCATCTCATATTCGGCGTACTCACGACAATCTTAGCACATCGAACCTAATATAATCTGCACAATTTTGCGAAATTAAGAGATGGAAAATTTTGCAAAACTATTTTTCTGTAGAAAACCATCACATTTTTTCGCAAATATCTACCCGACAACTGGACATACTTTTTGTTTCGCAAAATTATTTCTATCAAAAGCAATACAAATTATAAAATCGTGAAAAAAAATCAAGAGGAGAATAGTACTGCATGTATTTCTAACTGCTAAATATTTATGTGGCTTTGAGAAAATTGGTAACATATTTTTCGGACCCCTCGTTTGTGTGCTGCACAAATTTACTAATTAATAGCGATGCTAAACAAGATTTATCATGAGTACGCCCATTATAAGTACCGGGAATCCGGGACCATTTGTCAAATTCCTGGTGAACTTCACCTATTTATGTCGCATACGTACATATGTACATACATTTCGTTGTCATTGTCGCATTATGTTGTTTTACTATTAACGAACGGAACGAAGTGAGCACGGAATTATTGTGATCGTTTTGTCCGTCCGTATCTAAAAGCAGGAAATGCATCTCTCGAACGCCTCAACATAATCAAATGCCTTTTTCGCCGTGCATCTAATTTTTAAGTATCTCTTAATCGCGTTTGATAATGGGGTCAATCGGACCACCCCCACCGCGGTCCAACATTAAATTTAGCCTTACTTTTCATTGAGGTGTCATTTTAAAACAAATTTCGCCGCAATTTCAACTCCGTCAATATTTCTAGATCTCCGACCAAACTATCTCCGTCTCCCGAGTTTACTATGTCTGTCGTGGCGTTTATTACCAACCATCAACCATTAAAACAATTTAATTTACCCAATGGAGATTTCCAATTAGCAAAGTACACTCTTGCGTTTAAAGTCAAGGTAAAATGTATGTATGTAACTGTTCATTCATTAGTATAATCCCTTCGTCGTAATGGAGCTGACGACATTGCCGAACAAATTCCTCCCCTTGAAAATTTTTCCGATTACCAGGAAACCACGCCCATTTCCGAGAGGATTAAGCAGTCAACTCCTCCCATTTTTTAAGTTCTCCCGCTACTTTGCTAGATGTCCCGTTAAATTTGAAAGTGTCCCGAATAAACAGCAAGTCAATTATCAATTTAAAACGTGCAGTGCTGCATTTTTGACTACTCTGATTTTAGCAATTTTTCTAAATATCTCGCTATTCATTGGTATCTTGAAATATGGAGGTGTTGCAAACCGTGACTTGGTTCTTGCGAAAGACTTGTGAGTATAATAAAGACATTAATTCATTTTGAGTTAAATTTTAGTGAACGATGGGCCATTTCTCGTAAATTTAACAAACATATTTGAAAACAATTTGCGATTTCAATTTGGAAAATCATATTTTACAAATCCCTCGCGACATGGATTTTTTGAACTTCAAAAATTTGTCGGTACAAATGTTGAATAAAGACGGCATTTAGGACGTTATTTAATTTAAGATGTTACCGTACGCCCAAACTGAGCTAATTATTTTTGATATGTATTAATTCATTTTCAATTGAACTAATCTGTATACAGTTGGCCACCACACAATCCATACAATGAAAGTTTGAAGAATCGTGTAGGAGGCTTTATCTACGGATTGATCTGGTCCTTCGCCCCAGTAGCAATTTTTGTCGTTTTAATCGAGTATTTATTAGCTTTTCTGAAGGCACCCAAGTTGGCGGAGTGGCTAAATAATTGGAATGTAATTGAAGACGAGATGCTACAACTTGGCTTTAATCGGGATAAAATTACAATTACCACGTTTTCCCGCTATTTTATCCCCTTGTTTGAATTTGTGCCTTCACTGGTTTTCGGAAGCTTGCAAATGATATGGATTTTCGACATCCGATATCCGATTCATTGCATGTTTAGCGTTATTTGCTGCTACGTTCCCCCATTCTGTTACGCTATTGAAGACTCGAAGGCACTTTTAATGCTGAAATGTCTTCAAGTCGGATTTCTTCAGGTGGGAATTTTTAACTGTATTATTAAAGTAAGAAATCCTCAGAAATTTTGAAATTTATTGTAGGTCCGCAATCATCTCGAAAAAAGTTTAAATGTCGACCGACGCAAATTACCGGTTAGAAAATTACATCTGTTTTTACTTAAACTTCGCCTGCAAGCAAAACATTGTGGCGATTACTTGGCGACCCAGCAACTCGTCACGATCTTCACGACGATGTACACCACGGCGGCGTCCTGCTTTTTGTTTGTGGCCGTTTTGAGTGATATCTCGGGTGGAACCAAGGAGGAGTTGCTCACCATGGCGTTTGCCTCCACGTGGCCAGTTTTCGGGATGAGTCGACTATATGTCAAGGTTTGGATGGGGGTCAGGGTAACCAGGGAGGTGAGTTATCTAGAGGGAATTTTTGCTAGAATTGTAGCGGATTTGGAATTATTTTACAGGAACAAGAGATTGCATCCATGCTTAAATTGGAGGGACTAAAACTGGACGACGAAACATTCGGGCCTGAATATATAAATGAGGTAAGTATTTACATTCTTAGAAATCCAGTATTAAAATGATACCAAGCGGTGTTCATATATGACTTACCAAATTGGTATTGATTACCAATACTGTGTAGTAATAGCTCGGCATTGAAGTTCTACCATATTGGTAGCTAATTTTTATAGACCGGTATAATTTTAATACCAAGCGGTGGCAACTTTAACACCGAGAAATAAATGCCTGCTTGACTATACCAGATTTCTAACAGTGCACATACATATTTATGTACATGTCGTTGAATATAGAACTTGTATGCATAGGACAAAAATACAAAAATACTACACATTCATGTGTAAGCATAATTTCAAGATTTCTTACGTATTTGTTAACTTTTTTCAGTTAAAAGAAATTGACAGGTTGTTGACAAGCCATCCGACCGAGGTTTCGTTCAATGACTATGTGAAACTAAATAACGCCTTAATTTTGGGGGTGCGTGGTAATTATACTGTAGTTAAATGTCAAAATTTTACAAATTCATGCATGATTTTTCTGAACTCTACCTTTTCAGGTGTTTCAACAAATTTTTACTGTTTTTATCATACTTCTGCAGTTTCGATAATAAGGTTCCTTAGACGATGGAGATCATTAGCTACATATTTACATGCATAAAAGCCAATGAACAATCAAACAGAAAATTCATGCGGACAGTCTTACTATTTATAATCTTATGTACATATGTACATCTGTAAATTAATTTGGGTGCAATGGCAGCCAGGAGATTTTGTAATTTCTATTTTTAAAATTCCATGTCAAATATTTTCATTTAGTTATATGTATGCATATTTGTACATATTTGTAGTATATATTCTACTTTGATTATTAAACTTAATGAAGATTGTCACCCTAAAACGATATAAACCATGTATATATTTCTGCTCGAACCTCTGAGGCAATTCACACAGGCCTTCGTAACATTGTAAAATCAATAAATTCTGTAAACTTACAAACTTTTACTTGCAGAATTTTACAAATATTTCAAATGAAAATTAGCTTAAGTTTCTGTAAACATACTCAGATCAAGGGCGTCTTTTTATTTTGCAAAAGTTTCTAAAATTATTTTATAAAACTTATGTACGGGTTTTACAAATTACTTACCAATGCCTGTGTGAACTACCTCAATGATTAAGCTGGCAAAATAAATATGTTGCATTGCAATTTAACTCATTGCAATTTTTATATTCATGTTGCATTTTACGTATGAACATGCTCATGCAACAAAGCGGATTCTGAAATGAAAACAGACTGGGAAGACTGCTGGCAAACAGATGCAATATTTCCGTTCTGGTGGGATTTATCTGGCGGTGTGCTTTCTTCCTCCTTCTCGACGTTGTCCTTGTCCGTTGTCAAGTCAAGTTTATACGCATTTTCACTTCCTTGTCCTTGTCCAGTATTGCGTCAATCCTCTCCAGATCAACAAGCTTTTACCAAATCTAAATACCTCCAAAAATCAAGGTAAAGTAAATTTATTGTAATTTCACTAAAGCATATGTAACAATGCAATAAATCAAGTGTATATTTCCCTTCCTGTCAAAATAAGTAATCAAAAATTTGCCAAATGTGACAAAATTTCAATATCCGTATACAGAATTTGTAGCTCGTGAATTTGTTTAAATTATGCAATACCTTGTAAAAATTTAAATTTATAAAGTCGCTTATCGATTTTTACATAAATTGACGAATTTGCTCATATTTTAGAAAATGTCACCGCGGCGATCAGCACCAGTCCTTGCGCCATGCCCCCCCAGGTCAAACAAGACAACGGCCGTTAATTCTACCGCCCCCATACAGGAAGCCAATGTGCCTGACGAGGTCCCGGTGCCAAAGGTCACTGCCCCAAAGATAAAGAAAACCAAGAAGGCAGCAGCACCAAAGAAAGTGCCAAAAGTTGCTCAGCGAAAGATGACACGGGTGACGGCAGCGAGAAAAAATGCATAAAATTATGCGTAGATTTTTTTAGAAAGTAAATTGTACCTTCAAATGTTTCCCGTATCCAAAGTTATTGGCAAATTTGTATATCAATATTTTACTTGTCGGGTGGACTCCGACCACTCTTCGAGGCTTCTTGGTTACCATGGTTGCACAACAGTTTAAGATGAAAGAATAATTTTCTTCTATCAATTTTTTATTTTGACTTTGCAAATAAATACATTCTTACTTTTCTTGAAATAAATGCATAAATTTCTCTACAACACATGATTTTCATGACTGCCAATTTTAACAAAAATTCGTACGTACATAAAAAGGTGTTCATTTTCATTCATTTTCAGATAAGTTAAACACATAAAGAATTTGAAAGATCGGTTGAAATTTGCATATGTAAGATAACAGCATATGCATACATTCGTAGACATATCTACGTTTACGTACATCTACATATGTACATATGTATACCCTGTACAACAATTAAATGAAATTTAAATTTCTAAAATATAGACACAAAAACGAACCTGATAAAATACTGGTTATATATGTATGTACCATATACATATACCCAACTAAACTCCATGCAAGATTGCAAATTTTAATAAAAGTAGCGCAAAATTAGCCAGGTCTAAATATGAAAAGTTCGAGTGCTTTGGTGACTATAGGGTATATTAAAAATATGTACATACCTATGTAAATAGTTACGCCGTTACATTTGGTCATTTTGTTATTAATGCGTTGACTTGTTTTGAGCAATTGTCCCACCATCGCAACAATTTTAAACATATTGAATATGCTAAATACATTTTACAATTTAAACGAAACCAACCCCGATACCGAAGTTTCCACGCATTTATACAGGAAGGTGGCTTTTGTCGATCTCTTCAACACGTACAACTTCACCGCACCCACACTCGCGTACAACTTGCACGGTTGAAGTGCCGCCGTGGCCCTTTGATTTATGCGAGATTCTAACGACCCCCTCCCTCCATGGCGGCGCCATCTCTCAACCCCGACCTCCCAGGAGGTGACCTTTCTCCACGTGCGGAGCAATTCAATACTCCCCTCGTAACAGTAGGACATCCTTGGCAACAGCATAAGCGTGACGAGCGGAGTGACCATGGCAATCGTGGGAAAGATAAGATACACCGGCATCGGAATAACGTCCCACATTCGAATCGTGGCAATCGTGCCGATGACAATTAGCAGGTAACCAAACGCCATCAGCGCCGCGGTTATGGGCGCTTGTAGCGCGGAGAGCAAATTCATCCCGATTAACAGGCTAATGTATAGCGTCCTCAGTCTCACATTTCCCACACTTGTAATCATTTCATCCCTTAATTCGTGAAATTGTTCGACAATGAACCGTGCCCCGATTTGGAGCAGGATTATGGAGATGATAATGACGAAGGAAATGATCCCGAAAATTTTGGTTAGAGAGGACACAGCAAAAGGAAATCGCATCAGGTAAGAGAAAAGTCTTTCGGAGAGATAAATTTTTCGGTCTTTTGGAAATATACCGATTTCTCGGAGGAAAAAGTAAGTCGTGTCGAAGTCGGATAGGATGAAAAATAGGGCGCAAATGTAGACTGATCTGCCCATTAAGAGGATCAACTTGTTGACCATGTACGCTGTCAGGTAGGAAGTTTCCTTGTCGATGGATATTTCTGAAATTTTGGTCAAAATTTTATTTACAAAAATCTTAAACTGGAAACGGGACAAGCTTACCAGATTGAGATTTAACTCTGCAATCCTCACAATGACATTGAATCCTTTAACGATGGCGTCAGGGTGTAACCAAATTAGGACATAGATCAGCGTAGCAATGGCGTCACAACTTATGCAAACTCCTGTCACGAACAAAATCACTGAATAGTTATCCGCCCGAGAGGGAAAGTCGTGGAAATTGTGCAAATAGATGGGGACAAGTACGACCCAGGTGAAAGTTAGTGCCGTTGCTATGGCAGAAATCAGTATCATTTGTGACCTCGTGTTGCAAAATAAGGCGTGCTTCTTGGCGTTTATTCCGATCGGGAAAATGTGATGGAACGGGAATAGTTTTGCATGGAGGGCAAAGCTTTCCCAGAGTAATTTCGTCGACATGTCTACGAAAATATTGGTTATTTAGTTATGTAGCCGAATTTTGACTGAAATCTTCATGTATTATTTGCTAAGAGTTGTTTGGTAAAATTTTGGGAACTGGCTAAATATGTACGAGTAAAATTCATGTGTACATTGAACTATTACAAGATGAACATATTTACACGGAGAAATTGGGCACACATTTAATATTTACATACGTCATTGGATCAAATAAAAATTAATAAAATTGGACAAACCTTAACCAAAAATGTATGTAAATTGAGACATGGTGGAGTTGCATAAATGCAAGTTCCAAGATGGATACTATGTACATATAATTCTATTTTATTTATATAAGAGAGACAAATTAGGGTAGCAATTTGAACTTAAAGGCTTTACTTTTTTCGGACCGTTAATTTGATATATATGTATTTTTGAAAATTTCAAATTGAAATAATTGGTTCAAAACTAGCTAGAAATTACTTAGCTAAAATTCACTGCTTGCATGCTTTTCACCTATTTTGGTCTTGTATTTTACCCTGACTGATCTTTGTATTGCGTCATGGACGATCCAATTTATTACATAGTTTTAATAACAGTATATTTATATGAATTCATATTCGTGTAAATATGACATATTTACAACGGATGCAAAGGCAATGTTTAAATTTGTGAAGATGGGGTTTGAATTGAAATAATGAGATCTTGAAGTTGTTCATATAAATACTAAGATACATAGTGACAAATTACATTATGTATTCCAAAAACTGTTACACAAAAATATTACTTAATTTGCATCTTCAGAAAAATTACACGTCAAAATATCTCACTCATGAAAAAGCGCATGAAAAGACCACACGGAAAATCAAGCTGAACAAAGTCTCAAATTTGCCACCCGGGATTTTACTCGCAAGATTCTGTCCGCAGTTTGAGCGTATAAAAATAAAACAAAACAAAACATTCAAAATTTATGGAATTTGCTCAATATCATAATTCGACGCAAATTTTCTCTAATTTGGATCCGTACCAAAGATAAGGTAAATATTGTTTATCCAGGTTTGTAAACTGATTACTATTAACACTTGAATAAACGTCTAAATCAATCAAAAATCATAACCGAATTATTAACTTTAGGCATGTTCTTATATTTTTATCATTCTCTGTAGCGAAGACAACTTTAGTTAATTGTTTCCCGGAATTCCTAGGAAAGTTCCAAAATTGAATAAATCTGTAAGGAAATTTATTATTATGCAGCTAAATTTTTACAAAAATATTCAGTTTACAGAAAATTCGCAAAATATACTGACCTTATCATTTTTTCATAGTCGAGCAGGAAATGGCGACCAAATGTGACCTTTCCGATGGTGGTCCTTGCTTTATCTGCGGGTCACCTGACCTCGCCTCGAAGGCACAGCCACGTCGTCGCTACGCCGAATTGACGACACTCTTTAAAACCTTGGTAATGACGACGGACTTACAGAAAAACCTGGCCGACTCGGTCTACTCCGATTTTACGATAAATGTTGAATCCTGCTTCAACTGTTTGGCGACGATTAAGGATGTTTGCGACCTTCGGCAGGAAATTGTCACGTTGCAAACGGAGCTGGACAGACTTTTGGAGGGGGCGAGAATAAAATTGGGAAATATCCTGCCAAACCCAAACCTTGAGCAAAAAGGTTGCATAATGTTTGCATTCTGCATAAGTAGATTTTCATACTAGTAATTTTTTGAATTTTTGACAGCATCACGAATTAGCGAGAGAACTTCTTCTCGGAAAGGAAAAAAGTTGATGGGGGAGGAAGACGAAGTGGTTCAAGTCAAAGAAGAGTTCCAGGATTGTGAAATAATTCCAGATTTCGTCGATTCCACAGAAATTGAGCCATCAATAGAACATGAAATGATGGAAGATGCAGAATTTGGAAATAATTCGCCGTGAGTAAGATTTAAGCTATTCAGCAACTTGCATAATATTATCGATAAATATTGGGGTAGTTGAAGAAATAATTTAAAGAATTTTCTAAAATTCAAATTTAGCAAAATTTTGCTTTTTTTATCAAGAAATTTTAACTTTAATTTTAGATCTGAGGACGAGACACAAGACCACGACAGCGATTACATTCCTCCCTCCAGCGCCAGCAAATCTTTTAAGAAAGTAAATCCAGACTTATCAAGTTCTTTAGACCAAAAAACGATGCCACAAATTACCGAAATCTTAAATTGTGATGATGACACGTCTTCATCTGAGTCTGACGGGGAAAACGTAGTAACCAAAAAAAGCCGAAAAATTATGGACTGGGAGAACGTTGTTGACTTCAACAGTATGGAGGAAGCAAGAAAGTACATTTTCGAGATGGGAGGCTGGGTCTACAAAAACACATATCAAACTAAAGAGGGTATAATGGTAGCATTTGTTTGCAAGCAGTCGAGGTCTTGTTCATCCAAATGGAGAATTAACCATCCATCGAACAGTACCGTTATGTACGTGGAAAAAACAATTGGTGAACACGACCACGTCCCGAAAAAAGGCAGAGGTTAGAAATTTCCATAGTTTAACTCATTCGGTAACAAGGCAATTACCAGGGATTATTTAGCTATACTGCCCTGGTAACAAATTTGGTACCTCAGTGGATACTTGTTTTATTACCACGCTAGGAATAAAGCAAACCGTGGTAATTATCATGTTGTTGAAGTAACATATATTGTCACTGCATGATAATACCTTGTTGCCGGATTATTTAAATTGTACACAGCGCCATTAAATTGATAAAATACTTTACAAAATAATTTCTTGAACAGGTATATCACAGGAGTTGAAGCAGGAAATTATCAAGCTGTTAGAGAGTGGGACGAAGAAACCACGCGCTATTCTGAGCACATTGCGGCGGGGAGGAGTAGTAGAACTACCTAAAAGATCTCAATTAGTTAATTTTCTGGCGACATATAAAAAACGCTGAGGATTTGCTACATGCATATGTATCAGGAGTAAGTAAATAATTGTAATGGTTTGAAGTTTAAATGATATTTTTGTAATAAATGTCATATGAATATTTTTTGTGACATGGTTGCCTCAAATTGTAAATGCAGGAAATGTTTTTTTAACATTGTAAAATTACTACTTAAAGTTGCGTTCATTGTTTCCCGAGACAATTTGTTACCACCATCCCAACTCAAAAAGTAAACGGACCCGTGGAAATTTCACCCTATTTACCAAATGAAGACGGTGACGGTTCTATTAGCCTTTTCGTATTGTAAAATCTCTAATATACACCAGTTTTCATTTTCATCTGAATACTAAATAAAGCTGAAAACCCTAAAACAATAATATGTTATCAAATTATGAGAACAAAACTAAAAATGCATGAAAGTCTCAGCAACGTGGCGTTCATTTCATGGATTCTCACATTTCTCATGCAAGATTTTACCCTCGAATCTCGCCATCACTTGTCAGAAAATAATAACAACACACCAAATTGAATCCAAAAATTTGCGAAATAGTTTGTGCACAACAAAAACAATATCACAAATTTTGAGTCTTTGAAAAACCAATTCGTTCTCTAGTTTACATCCATCAAGGTGTCATTAATTTGGGCAATTGAAGACGTGTGCGACCTTCGACAGGAAATTGTTACGTTGCAGACACAATTGGACGGACTTTTGGAGGGGGCGAGGATAAAATTGGGAAAGATCAAGTCAAACCTGGAGAAAGGTTGCTCAAAAATTTTATTCAACATTAATTTTCAAAGTTAATACACAGTTATGACTTTTACAGAGTCACGGCGAATCAGTCAGAGAAATTCTAATCTTAAAAGAGCACAACTCATTGAAACGGAGATCATAGATGAGTTTAATAATGGTCAGTTGTCTGTTGAATGCAAAATGGTGATTTTGTAAATGGTCGCATATCCATAATTTGCAATAAATTTAGAAACTGTCTATTTGTAAAATAATTTTTGCTCCAACTTGCAGATTCCGTACGAGATACGATAACTTCTAATGATGACGTGGAAATTAAGGAAGAGGGTGACAATTTGTGTGACATGGATGATGCCGAAATAATTCCAGATTCGGTGGAATTGATGGAAATGCACTCATCAAGTAGTGGAACCAATGATGATAACAAATTGCCAAATAATACGACAGAGTAAGACCAAATATAAACTGAGGATGGAGTGCGCTTAATATGCTGGGACTTGGGAGTCCTCATTGTCAAATCTTGGACAATCGTTAGCGTTACCCAAAAAAATAAGCCATGTTTGCAATATAAAAATTATTCCTACATCTCATATAAGAAACGTGGTCTTCGTGAGTATTGGAAATGTAGGACGACGAAATGTACCGGCCGGCTTATCAAAAGTATTACCAACAAAAGTAGCGACGCCATGATTATTTCAAAAGAACATACTTGTATGAGATCTGCAATTGAGTGAGTGCCACAATATTTAAATAGTTCGGTTAATAATAAAATTCATCTTATATTTTTACGCTAAATTTAAATTTTAGAGTACAAGTTGACAATCTAAGGGAAGAACTGAAAGCAGAAGCACTTAAAAATCCTCACATCGGTCCAACTAAAATTGTTTCTACTGTGAAAGCTAAATATTCCACAGAAGTAGTTCAGGCCTTACCTAGCGATGAAACACTTCTGTCAAGTATTCGACGAACGAGAAGGACCTGTGCTGTTAATGAGCTGAGTAGTAGAGAAGGAATTTTGTGAACGGAGCAGCAGAAAACTTGGTTAAGTTAAAATTCAATTCTCTCCGTTTTTCGTAATCAAGCCAGTTAAATTAAGTATGTACAAAATAAGACGCAAACATGATGGTTAAATAAAAAGGCTGTGAATTTACAGCATACCGGACGTTTAAACTTTTGTTTTTGAACATTTAATAGGTAATTATCAAAATACAGCCACGGGTAGAGACAGAAAATCAAAGGATAGATCCATGAATGCGTGATCTTATCATGAAAATCTCAACTTATTCATTTCTCGATTCTCACATTTCTCATAGATTTTACCCTCGAATCTCGCCATCACTCTTCCAAAGTAAACATCAGCAGGTTGTGAAATAATAGGAAACCAAATTGAATCGAAAAATTTACGAAATAGTTTGTCGTCAACAATGTCACAAATTCTGATTTTTTAAAAACCAATTCGTTCTCTAATTTACATTCATAAAGTGTCATTAAATTGGGCGTGATTTTCACAACAATATTTACAATTTGCAATTTCTTTATTTCTATTGGAAGAAGACTGTTGTTAATTAATGCCGATCGTAATTACTAAATTTATTATATTATTCATAAAGTTTAATTAGACTCAATTAATTGATATGCAGAAATTTTGCAAGAATTTTAACAGTAATAAAAGTTCTGATTCAATTTTTTCAGAGTTGAGCAACAAATGGCGTCAATACCACAGCCCAGAGGTGACGGTGGTGCTTGTTTTATCTGCGGATTACCGGACCTCGCCTCGGAAGCGCAGCCGCGTCGTCGCTACGCCAAATTGACGACACTCTTTAAGACTTTGTTGATGACGACGGACTTGCAGAAAAACCTGGCCGACTCGGTCTACGCCGACTTTACGACAAATATTGAATCCTGTACCAACTGTCTAACAACGATTAGGGATGTTTATGACCTCCGGCAGGAAATTATTATCCTTCAAGCACAATTGGACGTTCTTTTGGAGGGGGCGAGGATTAAATTGGGAAGGATCCAGCCAAACCTTGAGCAAAAAGGTTGCTCAATATTTTTATCTGCATAAATTTCCAAACTTGATAAAGTTATAAATTTTTTACAGGGTCACGACGAACCAGTCAGAGAAATTCTAATCTAAAAAGAGCAAAACTCATAGAAGTGGAAGGTGTAAAAGAATTTAATAACGGTCAGTTGTCAGTGTTGGTTTTAGTAAAGCTCCACATAGCCATAATTTACAATAAATTTAGAAACTGCCTATTTATAAAATAATTTTTGCTGGAACTTACAGATTCCATACGAGAAACGATAACTTCTAATGACGACGTCGAGATTAAGGAAGAGCATGACGATTTGTTTGACATGGATGATGCTGAAATAATTCCAGATTCTGTGGACTTTAGGGAAATGCACTCATCAAGCAGTGAGGCTAATGATGATAACAAATTGCCAAATAATATAACAGAGTCTGAGTAAGATATAATGCAAACTGACAATGGGGTTCTACCAGCCTTTTCCATTCGACTTTGACCAAGTAAGTGCTACTCGGTCTCAAAGATTAATATGAAATTCGCAAAAGACACAATCTGGAGGTTTGGCAGCACAATTTGCATCCGAAGAGGAGAAAACGTGCCCAAAAGTATTGAGCTTTCCAAAAACGCCCGTATTATCCTCTGAAAGCAAATATGTATCTGCCAACCACGAGCATTTGGCAGTGGCTTTTGCGAATTTCATATTAATTAAATTTGTAACCGATTGACACCAGATTGGTCTTAATCTCAGGGCAGATGCTGGGAGACCTCCATTGTGAGCAGTATATTTTTTTAATTTGCACTAAATACTACGTAAAGAATCTGTAGTCGTAAAGTTTTTCGGAGGAAGATAATTTTGACTTTTTATCAGTAATGAAAATTTCTGCAAAACACAAATTTGTTCTTTTTACTTCCTCATATGAACAGAATTTTTACTTATTTTCATAGATCTGAAGATTACGACGAAGACCCCGACTATAATCCCCCCACGCCTGAAAATGTGCCATTTAATGTTGTTGCTACCCAAAGGAACAAGCCATGTTTACAATATCAAAATTATTCATACACCTCGTCCAAGAAGCGTGGTCTTCGAGAGTATTGGAGATGTAGAACGAGAAAATGTACCGGCCGTCTTATCAAAAGTATTAACAACACGAGTGCTGACGCCATGATTATTTCAAAAGAACATAATTGTATGAGATCGGCAATCGAGTGAGTAATTTTGCACAATATTTAATTAGGAATTTTATTCATCTGTGTATATCCTAAATTTTATTTAGAGTTCAAGTTGAAAATCTAAGGGAAGAACTAAAGGCAGAAGCACTTAAAAATCCCCTCGTCGGTCCAAGGAAAATTATTTCGACTGTGAAAGCCAAGTATTCCGCAGAAGTAGTTCAGGCCTTACATAGCGATGAAACCCTTCTGTCAAGTTTACGACGAATGAGAAGAACTTGTGGTGCAAACGATCCTAAAAGTAGAGAAGGAAATAAGGAAGACGGTGACAATTTGTTTGACATGGATGATGCTGAAATAATTCCGGATTCGATTGAATTTATTGAAACGCACCCATCAATCAATGAAGCTAATGAGGATAAAAAATTGCGAAATGATACGACAGAGTAAGATAAGATGCAAACTGGCAATGGAGGTCTTCCAGCGAAGCCTCTCGGATTTTGGCAATATTGCCACTCGATCTCAAATTTAATTAGCATGGGCTTGTAAAGGATAGGCTCTGGGCAACTTGTTTATTTGTCATTGAACAGGCGTTGCTAGCTGATTGCATCCAAAGAGGAGAAAACGTGCTTTAAAGATAACTAATTTCGTACTTTCAAAATTTACTCTTTGCATACAATCTATATATGTATCTGCCAAACCTAAGGTCGTGTCTTCTCCAAATTTCACATTAATTAAATTGGTGATCGATTAACGCTAATTTGATCAAAATCTGAGAGTATAGGCTGGGAGCCTTCCATTGTTTGTAATTTTATTTTACAAAATTTGCATTAAATACTGCGTAAAGAATCTGTATTTGTATCAGCAATGAAAACTTCTGCAGAATTCATATTCGTGCCATTTAATTCCTCCTATGAATTGGATTGTTAACTATATTTGCAGATCTGGAGATGAGGAAGAAGATCCCACCACGCCTGAAAATATGTCATTTAATATTAGTCTCACCCAAAGGAATAAGCCTTGTTTACAATATAAAAATTATTCATACACCTTGGAGAAGGGTGTGAAAGGCGGTCTTCGCGAGTATTGGAAATGTAGGAAGAGAAAATGTGCCGGCCGCCTTATCAAAAGTACTAGCGAAACGGGTAGCGACACCTTGACTGTTTCAAAAAAACATAATTGTATGAAATCGTCATTCGAGTGAGTAACTTGGCACAATGTATGTGGGGATTCACGTCAACTTCGTAACCGCCGTAAACGTCGTTTCGCAACATATTTACTTGGTAGCATTGCGATGTTTTCGAAGATTTACGATGCGACAACCAATTAGATCGCCTTTAATTCTCTACGAAATATGCAAGAAAGTATCTATTATAGTCGTGAACAATTTTTTCGTAAAGTCGTCGAATTTTCATTTCTCCACTCATTTTCAGTTTATGTATTTTCATTTAAAATAATTTGTCCACGACACCGATTTCTGAAACATCGCAAAGTTGGAAAGATATGTTGCGAGGTGACATTTTTGAGTGACGTGAATACCCACAATATTTAATAAGGAAATTAATCGTGTTACATACATATACATTTTTGTGCTACATTTTAGAGTTCAAGTTGACAATCTAAGGAACGAGCTGAAAGCAGAAGCACTTAAAAATCCTCACATCGGTCCAACTAAAATTGTTTCGACTGTGAAAGCCAAGTATTCCGCAGAAGTTATTCAAGCCTTACCAGATGATGAAACCCTTTTCAGAAATATTCGACGAATGAGAAAATCATGTGCTGTAAACGATCGTAATAATGGAGAAGAAATTTCTTGAGTAAACGGAGCAGCAGAAAGCCTAGTTGAATTATAAATTCAATTCTTTCTATTTTTCTGAACCAAGTCAGTTAAATTGTGTACAAAATAAGACTTAACTATGATAACTGAATAAAATTTAAACTGAAGCCTTCGGAACCTGCAGCACACAGGTTGTTTAAACTTTTGCTTGGGTGCTGTACACATGTAGAAGTATATATGCTTATATACATATTTATGTTATACATACTCATAGCTATACGCCATTATCTTAATTTTCTGAATCTATTAGCTAATTATTTACCCCACCCAACAGGAGTATATATTGATTGTATTGATTTTCCTGTGTACATATACACAAGTAATGTAGTTCCCTATTTAATCATTTTCTCAGCTCGAAACAGCCTACTAAAATTTAAAAAAATTTTATCATTCAGAATTGTCCTTATTATGGAACTTTTACAAAAACCCGTGACCACTGCGTTTCCCTTAAAACGTCCACGCTTACGTCCACCCTCTCACCCTTCCTTGACCCTGCAGTTCACCACGTTCGTAAAATTCCTCCGAGTCATGGGCCGATGTCCATTAACTATTCAGCCACATTCACGCCAAGGTCGACAAGTCGAATACGCCTTCAAATGGCTCAACCTCCCATTTCTCTTCTCCTTAAGTTCTGCCCTCTTCATCAGTACGATTTGCATAGTGTCCCTCTTGCAAAATGGGACCATGGGGTTCCAATTATTTTCTGCGAGTGAAATGTACGTGTAAATACTTATACACTGTTAGAAATCTGGTATAGTCCTACCTACAGGTATTAATTACTCGGTAGTAAAATTGCTACCGTTTGGTACTAAATTTTACGGGCCGTAAAACGCTGCCTCCGATGTGGTAAAACTTTAATACCGAGATAATACTTATCACTACCACTTTGATAGGGCAAAATATATGAATACTGCCTGGTGTTATTTTAATACTGGATTACTAAGAGTGAATTTCCTCTTAAAAATTGTTAGTAATGAATTACAACATTAAAATTTTATATTTACATAGATTTCCACATCCACGTCAGCTAAACGATTATCCGGAGTCGATCAAAATTCTACAAAATTCCCCACTCACCAACACAATCGTGATATCGTTCGAGGTCATTTCCATAATCCATATCATAATCGACTACGTAATCGCGTGGGTGAAAGCGCCCGATTTGGCGAAATGGCTGAATCGATGGAACTCCATTGAAGACGAAATTGAAGAATGGTGTGGAATTAGTAACAACAAGAAGAAACCTAGTATTTCAAAATTTCAGTACAACCTGTCCTTATATTACGTGATTTTACCATCACTGTTCTTTGGAACTCTGATTGCATCGTGGGAGTTCGATTTGCAGTATCCAATTCATTGCATAGTTTTAATGGCGTATTCGTACTCGGGTGTGATCTGCTATGGGTTGGAGGATACGAAAGCTATCATCATGTTTAAGTGGGTGGAGGTGGGGTTCGAAACGGTGAGATTATTTTAATTGTTTTTGCGTAACTTCCGCCAATGTTACAAGTAGTTTAACTATGGCGCAAATTACTTATCAAAGTGTGAAGTATGAAGATATTCTTACTATAATTTACAGATTCTAGTTCACCTCACATCAAACCCAACCACTATCATAAACACGTCAAAATTGGAACACATTCTGACCAAAATTCGTTCTCAAGCGCATCACTGCGGGAGATATTTGGCATTTCAGCAATTGCTTTTAATTTTGGTGACCATTTATTTTTCTGCGTCTTCCCTGTTTGCAATTGTCACTATTTTAAGTGGACCGGTTGGAGATTCAAGAGCGGAAATAATGCAGGCTATGATGATCAGTTTCAGTGCCACGATGAATATTACGAAGTTATATTTTAAAATTTCTGTCGCCGTCTGGATTTCAAAGATGGTAATGATGACGATTCGTCATTGACGAATATTGATTACAAATGAACAGTAATTCACTTACTGTATGAATTTAGGAAAAACGTGTCGCCGTGGAAATCAAGATGGCTGAACTTGGAAACCAATTGCATAATTCGTTGGAACAAAGGGTGCAGGTAATCCAATCGTGAAACAATTCACGCAGCTCGTGGTAACATTGTGAAATCCGTAAATTTTGTAAACTTACAAACTTTTACAAATATTTCTTAGGAAAATTGGCTCACCCATTTTTATGTTTATACACTTATCTATGCATCCTTAGATTAAAAAGCCGTTTTATTATTTTACAAAACTTACGGATTTTACAAGTTCCCAATGCCTGCATAGATATTTAAATATTTATAACCTTATGCAATTACATATAAAATTATCTAGCTGTTTATTACACATAAAAGTGTTTCCAAGTTGTGCAATAAAAATTGTGTGCTTTGTTCAGCTTAAAAGGATCCACGACATGTTGATCAACCACCCGACCGAGATTTCCTTGAATGATTATGTAAAGTTGAATAATCAATTGATTTTAGGGGTACAAAATCAAATTTATTTGTGTTACTGTTATACATAAATAAATAAAACGCGCTAATTTTATCCACATTTTACACAGGTTTTTCAACAAGTCTTTACACAATTTATCGTTTTCATGCAGTTTCACAAAGCATGAAAATGTTAACATTGTTCAATGCTGAGTGAGACTCTTATTTGGTGAGCAAAGAACAGAGATGAAGAAACAACTTTTGGGAATTGTTAATTTTAAGAAACATGTAATTGCATAATATTTCTAAAAATGAAACGTTACGTTTCAAATTAAAATTTCATTTCATTAAACCATGAAGATCATGCGTTTCAATTTCTTAAAATTCGTATTTAATATTCAATTTACATGTTTAATTGCTGAGTTATATACATATCTATTTCTGATGAAGTTTGAAATACTTATACGTATGTACGTAAATTTAATTTATTGCAACTCTCGTACCGTAATGTTAATACATTTTGGAATGGACGAGTGTTATAAAATTTTAAGTATGTATATATGAAATATAATAAAATTTTGCAAGTGGTTTTGCATGATACCTCAGCGAGATTTTAATCAAATTTTGCACAAGTAATTCTTACGCAATTAGAAAGCGATTGTCATAATTTTGCGAACACTTCGTTTTTGACGAACTTTATACAATCCATTCCAATGGATTGTATAAAAACATTCAGCAAAACCATTTTTTTTACTAAACTGCATGAAAACAATGAATTCGTAATAATATAATTCGTATTCATGCAGTTTCGTCATCCTTTGTTTCTTTTCAAGTCCATTCGAGCTGCAATTTTATTGCATATAATAATTGCTTATTGTAATTTGCACTGAGGAAACTTCATTTGTCATATACAAAAAATGGTAAAATTTCATACTAATTTTAAAGTCAATTGGCAACTAGTGCTATAATTTGCATAACCATAATTTTTAAGCGATATGTGATATGTGAATCTCATAATGTGTCATCTGAAGTGAAAGCAAGTACCGCGAACAGAGCAAGCAAAACTCCGATCGCACAATTTTGTGTTTAATGTCTTAAACATAAATTTTAATTGTTGTTCTAATTCTTCTTAAAAATGTCAGCCTGTCTAATTTGCAATAACTCCGTGATACAAAATGACTCCTCAAATTTGAACATTTCTCCAGAAACTTTAACTTATCTGGAGTCTCAGGTCAAAGTGATTTTCCTCTTGCAAAAATTACTAAACGTGTCGACATTCCGGTGTGAAAATTACCTCGAGAAGTATGGCGATCCTTCGACGTGGATAAGCACGTGTTTCGAGTGCAACTCCCTCCTTCGCGATGCATACTCGTATCACTGTCAAATTGTTAAATTACAAAAGAAGTTATCCAATATTAAGGGTCAAGTACGAGGAAAGATTAAAACGATAAAAGTCAAAGGCCATCATCGTCGCCGCGTGACCTCGCTACACGCAGAAATTCGGAGTTATTGTCTCGAGCAAGAAGGAGATGATGGTGAGCGAAGTTTAACTTTGATGAGAGTTAATTAAATAAGAATAATAATTTTGATATGATTTTAGATGAGGACGACAACTTCGACGTCAAACCGGACCCTGAGGATGAGGAGGAGTTTTCTTGTCCTTTGTTAAAAGCAGAGGCCATCCTGGACCCGGATGGAGGTCAAGGTCAAGAGGATAACGTCCCCATTAAGGATGAACCGTTTGAAATTTCTCAGAATGAGATTGACTCGGACGATCAAATTGAAGATGATGACATCGACGTGGTCTGTGGCGATAAGAATGATGATTCAGATTACGACCAAGATTCCGGCGATGATTCTTCAACTTCCGGTGATGATTCATCAACTTCCGGTGAGACGATGGCATCAAAAAGGAGAAAACTTGGTTAGTTATTAATTATTGTAATATAATTAAATAATTAACTGACTTAAGTTGTATGATACTCTTTCAACTCTAGAATCTCCGTCTATCGGACCAGATGGTCTGTTTATTTGTAACCACTGTACTAAAACCTTCTCGAAATTAAAGACTCTTCGGAAACATGAAAACAGAATACACAACGTATTCTATAGGAAACACAAGGAAAGAAAGCTAAGCATTCAAATTAGGAAACCTCGCTTTGAAGATTTTATTGAGCCAGCATTCAATGGAGAGTTCAAGTGCAAAATTTGTGATAAGATCTTCTCTAAACGAGACACTTTAAGGAGACATCAAAATGTGGCGCATGACTTATTTTTTAAAAAGAGATTGTACGAGTCGGACGGAAGAATTAGGAAAATTGTGGTAAATCCGGTAAATCCTGGTCCTGAAGGTGGAGAGTTTAATTGTTCTTCGTGCGAAAAGACGTTTAAAACAAAGAATATGTTAACCAGACATACTAAATTTGCTCATGGGAAACAATCTGGTAAGTTTACGTAATAAAATTAACGTCGAGCTCATTAGTTGTAAAAACTTTAGACAAGCTAGTAGTGGAAGTTTTAGTCTGGATTTGTAACCAGATTTTCCATTGTAATGGTTCTACAACTATCCTATTTTATTCATTTTTTAGGAGAAAATTCGGAAACCATAAGCCTTGTCAAGGAGGAAGACGATAAGACTGGAAATCAAAGTCAAACCTGTGGCGAGTGCAATGTCACATTTTCAACCAAAGCGGGTCTGACCAATCACAACTATGTACTTCACTTCAAGGATTCCCTGGTGAAAATGCAACCAAAAAAGAGGGTCGATTATCTTCTCCTCGCCCAAGATGTGACCCTTACTCCGTGGAAATGTTCACAGTGCTTCACCTGGTGGGCGACCGAGGATGAGATAGATGAACATTCCAGAGTCGTGCATAATGTCGATTTCAGTAAAGTTGGTGAGGAAAATTTTGACACTTTATAATTCCAAATCTCTAAATGATTTTTAAATTTGTACATAGATCTGGAAACAAATTTCAAGTGTGACCTTTGCACAAAAGCGTACTCGACCAAGGCAAATCTCCTCCTCCACGGGGAACAAGTCCATGCTGGTGAACCATTTAGTAACATGGGAACAATGACCGTCTACCAGTGCGAACACTGTCCTCGCAAATTTATAGACGAATCACGCTTTGAATTTCACTTGGGAAAAGTTCATCAAGTTTTAAAGAATCCTAAAAAGACAAAGGTTGGCGGAATCTGTCTATTTTGCGGACTAGGTAACAACCAAATATCAAAATAATGTGCACCTATATTTATATATGCACCTATTATTTTTGCACCTATGTATGTATATGTAAGAATGTAGCACAAACTTATACAAAATTTTGTTAAAATTTGTATGCTGCTTTTCTTTGCTTAAATTTAGTACTAAATAGCTCATCGTAAGGTTATAAAAACGTTGCAAAAGTAGTTTCCAATCGTTCATATTTACATAAATACAAGACAATTTTAGCAATGTAAATTTTATTCTCAAACTTACACGATTTATTTACATATGCTTGATTGAAGTATGACTTAAATTATGAAACTTAATTAATCTTCCTTTCCAGCCTGTCACACCCACCTATATTTTCACCGGCACATTCACCTCCACTCTGGCGAGAGAAACATTCTATGTGAATTCTGCAGTGCCACATTTTCCGAAGGTCGCTACCTCGCCTTCCACAAACTGCGACACCACGCGGACATGTTACCTCCTCAAGAGAAGAATGCCCTCCAGTGCGAGACCTGCTTAAGAGTCTTCTCTACAAAAGATTACCTCCAAGTCCACGTGAGAACGGTGCACGAAAAGAAGTACAAATTCATTTGCGACCTTTGTGGAGCTGGAAGAGAGCACGAGTCGTCATTCAAGCAGCACATGTTATCTCACGGGACGAGAAAAATGTACGCCTGTCCCCACGCCGGGTGCAACATGAGTTACAAAACTAACAGCGGACTCTCCGTCCATCTTAGTTCTCATCATTCCGGAAAAGTGTGGAATTGCCAGTTTTGCGAGAAAGGCATGTAGACAAGTTGCATACATATACAAATCTTTGTACCCTTTATAATAAATTAAATTATATGTATAATAACATCTCAATATTTTCAGAGTTCAATAATCGCCACGATTGTCGACGACATGAAGAAGCGGTTCATACGAAGACGACACAGTTTACGTGTCACGTTTGCTCCAAAGAATTCCCAATTCGAGACTATTACAGAAATCACATAAAAAGATGCCATAAAAAGGTTGGGGTGGAAAATTCATGAAAATGGAACGATTTATATTTTTATACCGAAAAGTTCGTGATTTACAGGCAAATAATTTCAAAATTATTGTAAACAATATTTTTATAATTTAATTATGTAAATGCATATTCAAATCTAATTAAATCACCATTGCCGATTAATAATCGGCGATTATTACGCGATGTTGCAATTAAATGGTTTTAATACTTGGATGATAAATGTAAAGTAAATATTAAATTTAAAATACGAAATTTAAATAATTTTACTCAAAATAGGTAAATTTTGAAAATCAATCATGGATTTTTGGATCTCTTTGTTTCCACATTCTCAAGTTACAATAATGCCATCGGTAGCATAGAGTTTCTCCAGAAGGAGGACACGGCACGAATAATTCTCATCTGTTTCACATTCAATCCGGTTTTTCCCAGTGGAATGTTTTGCTGCGAAATTTTGTTAATTAATTAATTAGTCTTCCTTGCAAGGTTAACTTTGTCAATAAAGGTATTCTCATCAACTTGCAAAGGTAAGTAAATATCCGGTGCAATTGTACTTAAAGGTCGATTTGCATGTAAGCCAAGCACGCATTCAAATCTGAGTTTTTGTTAAGGTCGGTGTGCTAAAAATTTTTAATATAGACCAAAATTAATTAATAACTTCTCATTCTTGCTAATTTTTCAACTTTATAGCGACAATATTAACATATTTTATTTTCATACTACGTATTTACAGATATATTTCACATTTGAGGATCCATACCTTGGCAATTCCGCACAACAAACTAAGCAGTATTTTGGGGAAATACACGAAACAGGGAGCTGAAATCACGTTGGATAAGGTAACTGACAAGATTATTTGACCGTATTTTCAATTTAATGATCGGGTGACATGATTTGTTCGCTTTATTTTCTTGTCGTTTTATTATTAATAGTAATATAAATTTTGTTGTAATTTGGTCATTTGTACAAAAGGCGAATTATGACGCTTTAAACGAATTCCCGCTTGAATATCTCTGGTGCAAATTCGAATTTTGAGCTGATTTTCGTAGGCAGGCAAGATAATATCCTCATAAACAAGTCTGCAAAGTTTTATTTGGATAGCTTAAAAAATGTCCCCTGCAGGGCCCTCAGAGTTGGATGGTGCTGTAAAAACACTTTCCAAACTTAATTATTCATGTGGCATAATAACCAAAGAGGTCAGAGGTGAAAAATTGTTATTATTATAACCCCGGATAATTTTTGTATTGAATAATGTAAGAATCCGTAATGAATCAAATAATGTGGGCCTTCCAACATCGCTGATAATTCGCCCCAAAAAGCGAGCAATCCGAGCTTGCTTGGGAAAATTGACCTGCTGACCTTGAAAACGGACCCACTGGGTCAAATGAAGAATGAGGGTAAAGCTGGAAGTGTCCTAAGAAATATTAAATTAAGCAGTGAACATTTTGGGTAAACAGTTTTGGAGAAGGACCCGAGCTAATCAGCTGACGCGGAATCTGAAAAAACTCGTGAACTTGTTTGGAAAATGAATGGTCAAATTTTGTTGAAAATAGATTTTGATAACGTTTTTGTGTCCTCTGTCGCAGAACTATTTTATCTACAAGCGACAAGTGGCAAAATAATAAAATCACTGCATTTTGATTAGTTAAAAAAATTTAAAGTTCCGCTTAGATTTTGAGGAGAACCTTTTTACAAAACTGACGGGATTTGGTAAGAACTGATTTCTAGGGGTGTAACCACTTATCAAAATTTTGTCAAAAGTACTTACAGTGCAACATACAATTTGTATCTTGGACAAAAACAACGTTTGGGATTTTTAGCATCTAAGCCGTAAAATGTGGGGGCCTTAGAAGTGAACGAGTAGCGTGCGCGAGCGCATTCTATTAGGACAAGTATGAAGTTAGACTACAAAACGGACTTTAAAGATAAGCATGAGCCAAAAGTGATTTTATATAGTGAAAAGCATGCTAAGTCGTTTGGTAATAGTCACAAAAATAATTTCTGCACTAGGACCTCAGAAAAAAATCTTTCGTTCGACACCATTTTATTAGAACAGCAGTTTGGAAAGTTATTTTACAGCACCCCCAACTCTGAGGGCCCTGGAGGGGACATTTTTTATGCTATCCAAATAAAACTTTGCAGACTTGTTTATGAGGATATTATCTTGCCTGCCTACGAAAATCAGCTCAAAATTCGAATTTGCACCAGAGATATTCAAGCGGGAATTCGTTTAAAGCGTCATAATTCGCCTTTTGTATGATACACTTCGATTATAGTCGCAAATGTCTTAATTATTATTATGTCTTAATTATCGTTTTCCTCTCCATTTATATATCGTCCAATGATAATATTTAGCACATTAAACTTTCACTTTAAAGTGAAAGTCTCAAAATTTCAAAATTGTAGTTCTAATTGCACCTTGAACTTCTCTCTTAACAAATATCCATCTCTTTCCCCTTTCAGATGCCTCCAAAGAAAAAACGAGGACGAATTAACCCTCCAATCCCTCTCAATCCACCGTCCCCCACTCCCCCCGGAAGTAGTGGCGTGGTCTCCGTCCTCCCAACAATTTACATCGCATCAAATCTCTTCGATGACGACGATGAAGAAGAAGAAGACTGGGTCCTACCCACCATCACCAATGTATTTACTGCTTCCGCTTCGTCGCCACTTCCGCCCCCGGAAACGATCGAAATTCCGGACAATGAAGATCTCCCTGCTGATACCACGTCCACGGACACCACCACCACTACCACGGAAATTTTAGATCCTGAAAAATCCCTAAAACTATCCTCCCCCGTTCCATCCCCGAGTCCGCCACCACCACCACGCCCGCCCAGCCCCTTCGTTCCAGAACCTACTTCCGGCCTGTGCGACCTCTGCGGTGGATTGTTCCTAGGAGAAGAAGAAGACGCATCCGGGGAAACATTTTCCGATCATGTTTGTGGCAGTGGTTTGTGCTCCTTGTGTGGCTACTTGTATTTAGATAGAGACGACTTCAAACGACACGAGGGAGAGTGCGGTATCTTTAAAGAGGATCCACCCCCACCAGTTCTCACCCCGATTAAAAACCAAGCGGCTAACTCGGCAGAAGTGGAAGGAACCCCTCCCAACATAACGGACGTGAATTACGCCGCTACAAAACCGGGTACCGAGCTCTCGTCGAAATCGGAAGAAAAATTGCCATCAAACTCGCAAGAAGAGAAGTCGAAATCGGAAGAAAACCCGTCGCCAAAATCGACACTAAATCCAAAGTTTCTCAAAATACGGAACCCTGACAGCAAAACTGTGAAAGATCCAGAATGGGAAGTTCCTAACTCTGATTCGGGTAGTTCGGAAGCGGAGGACGATAACGATGCAGATGTCGTTTTTACAATCAGAAAGAAAGATACGGCAGTGGATAAAGATTGGTCGGTTCGTCCACGACGGGCGGCGGCGCAAAGGAAGAGTTATAAATTTTAGTTCGGATTTTACTTCATTAAAAAGAGGGAAGACTGCCACAATGAAGACTGGATGATGTCATATTTACAAACTATTATCATTATTAAAACGATAAATTCAACTTGCTAATTATCTCTCTGTTTGTCATGATTTTGTAAACAAGGTATTTTAATTCCGATATATTATCATGTTAACCATGTTCAATTTTAATCAGATAGCGAAGTCAGGTCACGATTTCACGAACCATTATAGTAACTCATGTATGTAGATAATTGGGGTTGATTTTTGACATATTTAATATGTAAAATAAACAAAATAGATATAATTACATACATACCTCGTTAATGTGTTCAATAATTTCATTTAAGGTTCATGATTTATTTTCATACCGTTTACAACAAACCGTTTAGTGTTCTCAATTTCATAAAAAGTGACATCATTTTCAAAGCAATTTGCTAGTACCATCTCCACTAAAAAAAATCTCAAATTGGTCAAATTGAGATTGCAACCGGGAATGTTTTTGCAATGACTTTCTCCTCTCCAGACAAAACAATAACAAAACAAACTAATAGTTTTGTAATTTCATAATTTCCTTGCCCTTTTTGAGTATGCATCGTCATTATCAATTGTCTATTAATTACTTGAATATACTCCACGATGGTCAGCAAGATTCTATTTCGTAGTCAGAATTGCATGAACTTCAAGTTGCAAAAATTTTGGTCAGAGTGCGAATCACAGCAGCGTGCAAATAATTCACCACAACTGGTCAAGTAATTTTTGTCAATTTAATTAAACTTCAGATTATTTAACCAGGTAAGAATTAGTTCAATTTGAACATGTGCATAAGATAACCACTATGCTAAATTTTAAACATTTCTTTTTTTCTTATCTAGCTAAAAATTTGCGACAATGGGCGAACCGACTGACCTTAATCAACACTGCTTCGTCTGTGGGTTATCTAAACTCGCCTCTTTGACGCAGCCTCGTCGTCGCTACGGTGAGTTGACGACCATTTTTAAAGCTTTATTGATGCTGACCCCACTTCGCGACATGATTCCTCCCCTCGTCTACGACAACTTTACAACCAATGTGGAAACCTGCACTGACTGCTTGTCCACGATAAAAGAAGTTTGCGCCCTACGTCAAGAAATTTCCAACTTGCAAACAGAACTGGACGGACTTTTGGACAGGGCGAGGATTAAATTGACCAATTATCCGGAAAAATGCATTAAAAAAAGTGAGACTTTTGACTTATAGAAAGTAATATTATGATTTTCAAAATAATGATTTCGTACTTTTTTGCTGCAGATTCACGACAAGGGAAGAAGAGGAGAAACTCGTTCAGAGCAACAGCAACAACTGACGAAGAAGTCATCCAAATTAAAGAAGAGTTTGAAGATGTCGAATATTTCTGTGAGGATGGTGGCGTAATTCTTCCTGATGCTTCACTCGAGGACATTGAAATTGAAGAATCCATACACAATGATCTCCAGGACGACGATGGGTTTGCAAATCTTTCGCCAGAGTAAGAATTTTGCATATTAAAGGCTGAAAACTGGGTTCAACATTTGCCTACATTTTGTTATTTATATTTTCAGATCGTTAATTAATGATGACGAAGATCCCGATTATTCTCCTTCCACTCGAAACGACAAATCACTTAATTGTGCCAAACGTGGTAAATTATTAAACAAACTTTCCCACGTTGTTCGGCCTGAAGTCGTGAGTCATGATGATAACTCAATCCCTTCAGCCCCTGATGGGTAAATTACGAATTTGCATTAAGGATAAGATCAGTTTGAACTTTCCACCTTCGATTTCCTTAAAATGAATGACCTCCAAACCCTTTCAACGTCCCTCAACCTCTTTTAGTCTTGATTTAATTTTTTAATTGCAGCGATACCTCCCGAAACAAAGATTTCTGCTGCTCCAAATGTGGAAAAGTGTTCAGCTCACGTTCACACGTGACACGTCATGAAGTCGAAGTGTGTAAACTTCCCGACCCTAGCAGTACAAGGCTCAAGTTTCATCCATGTGGGCAGGATGATTGTGATCGTAAATTTGCTAGCAGAACTGATCTCACACGGTGAGTGGCTCACACCGTTAAACAAACGACAAATCCGTACATTAAAATAAGTTGAAACCTTTTAATTTCTATTGCAGCCATTGGCGATCCTCGCACAACTTGGACAAAGCTACAATTAGGTACATGGATTTACTAACAAACATTGAATATTCAAATGCTTAGACATATAGTGTCCAAAATTCGATTATCGTCCTCCTGTTAATTCAAATAATCTTGACACAGGGGATGAAGTATTTACCCCCTGTCAGCTCCTGTCCGATTACAAGTTCAGATCACCAGAAATATTCATTATTACTTATTTTAGGGAATTGACACAGCAACGAGGAGTCCCTCGTTCCTCAAAATCCGTTGTTGTCCCCCAAAAAGATTTAGTTGTAAGTACAATGAACAATTTATAAATAAATACTATTTACATTATAAAATTGTCCCATTATTATTCCTCTTTCCACAGGGACCCCATCCTTGCTCTAAATGTGGAAAAGTTCTAAAGAAGTTTTTATATCGGATATCCCATGAGGTCACTGTGTGCAAAATACCCTACACGGACGAAGAATTGGCCCAAATGGGGGCAAAATTCTATTATTGCGACCAATGCGAAAAGAAGTTCATTAATCGGAAAGATCTCGTCAGGTACATATTTATTACGATTCATCGTCTTTACAATTTGTAAATTACAAATCGTCTATCGGAAGCTTTTGAAACATTGGTTTATTAAAATTTAGTTACCTGTATGTAATTAGGAAAATTTCTGAACATCAATTTCACAAGTTATATGAAATTTTATCATTTTTGCAGTCACCAACTTGTCCACACCGGAGCTAAGCCTTTTCAATGCACAAACTGTGGGACATCTTTCACCCAATCTTCCCAACTTTATGTTCACCATAGGACACGTTGTGAAAAATCGCAGAAACCCAACGTTGTTAAAAACCAAGAGCAAGTCATGAATTAAGGAATGCCTAAAATAAATACGTACAATTTCCTTCTTTGTCAAAATACTTATTAATTAGATTATGAGGATAGAAATAAGATTCGGACAGCCAAATGCATGTTTTAGTAATGTAAAAGTAGATTTTGCTATACATATTTAGATACTTATTTGTGTGTACCAGTATCTTGTTATGAACGAGTATCGTAATTGAATTGCATGCATAACTATGGTCACTTATGTAGTTTGCATTAGAAACTGCATATTGCGAAGATATTTAATAACTAACGTGTAAAGTCATTCTTCATGCATATTTACATTCATTTAGAAATAAAATCGATATTTATGCATAGTTTAGCAAAGGTGTTAAATAATCATATTCTGTAATCATCAACCTCCAGATGTTTATTAAATAAATGTGAACACTTCAGTCAGATCATATAATTCTACAAACAGTAGATATATATGTACATAACTAGTCTTTAATTGAATTGAATTGAATGCATAGTTTAATTATACCTATATGACCATCGACAACCACGTAATCAGGATTACACCCAATCGTATACACATTTCTTTATTGATACGACAAAAGTCATGGGCAGTGGATCAAGTTAATTACATACATAATACATATATATGTACATAATACACATACAAATATATTACTAAATACGTTCGATAAAGGGTAAACATTTTTACAGAATACTTATACTTGTCCCAAATCAACAGTTGTGTTTGCACCAATCAATGCACACGTGGCATACATGTTTATGTTTGTAAATATTTACTGAAGTATGCATAATAACACAGGGGCGTGATTAGGATGCAATTAAGATAAGTACTTGTTTTCTATTAAGGAAGCTGAGTTAAATATGATGTAAACTCTCGTGATGATTATAAATAATCAATTAATTAAATTTATAAAAGTATTATCACCCACTCATTCAAGTAATAGATAAAACTTATTTAAATAGGTATATTGCAATAAGTAAGTATGTATGTCACTGCATGCTTATTTGCATAGAGATATTATGCCACACATCACAACTTTGCAAAATTTGCCCTTCTACGTTTTTTGTATTTTTCCATCCCTAACACCCCTTCCTCACCGAGGCGAAATCATGTAAAAGAGATTTAACCGAATAATCCAAGTCTCCACCCCGATAACACCAACTCACTCCGGAGAAATTCTCCCCAAAAAATAGCGTCCAGTTGGACCTCCCCGTCAAAACGATGCTACGGACAGGAACGAATCCAAAACTTGTCGCTTCATCCACTCCAATGATAAGTTCCCGACCTCCATTTACATTCCCGTGTGACCCCGAGGTCACCGTGATGGCTGGAATTGTAGTGTCGGCCGGTCCCAGAAATCGAAGCGAATTTGCGAGATGGAAATAATTGTAGTTTCCACATGTGGTAAAGGCGTCGAGGAAAATGTCATAATTCGTGTCACGAAATGCAGACCAACTGGGAGGAAAATATGCAAAATTATAGATTTGCAAATAAATTTGCATATTACAAAAAATGTGGTGCATACCGATTTGTAGAATTTACACAGAATGATTTCGCTCTGCTTAAAAATTCCTTTGATTCCGAGAGATCGGGAATTTTTGCGTCAATTGTGATAAATTCGCCTCGCTGATCATAATCGGAATATATTTTGATTTCATACTCGCCCCATGCGACCACGGCCAGGAGAAGGGCGACAAAAAATTTACCAAATTCAAACATTGCTGGAGAATTTTCTGGGACACGATTTTATTTAAAATACTTAATTGTACAGTTAACGACTGTTACTTTACAGTGTCTGAATGAGATGCCAGTAACTCAGTAAATGATCCGACCTCTAAACTGTTACTCGTGGAGATAAGTCAGAGCTGATATTGATACGTTAAGTTAGTTTACTTGTTAACAGATATTGAGTAATATTGTGCATGCAAATTAACTTGCAATCTACACTTTGTATACATCAATCAAAACAGATTATAATTTATTCAAATTAATTACTTATGCATGTATACCATTTAATTACACAAAATTAATTAAACCCTCATAATAATTAAAGTCCCATCGCCGCCGCGACATCAATACGACCATGACCATACACATAATTCGGATAATATCCACTCTCTGGAAGTCCGCAATCCACATCACTCAAGGGAGGCTTAACCGCCGTCCTGGCAAAGGCATCGTACACATCGGCGTAACCTTGCGTTGGGAAATGCGCCAAGTAAAGCGCCACGGCGCCAGCCATATGCGGGGTCGCCATCGACGTTCCTGACATCGTCACATAATTATTTGCCCCCGTCCCACACGACACGATGTTCGACCCCGGGGCGACAAAGTCGGGTTTAATCCCCCCAGACTGGGAAGGTCCGCGTGACGAAAATGACCCCACGGCCTCCATTTGGCTAGTCGCCCCAACGGAAATCACGTTAGGCTGGTCCCCCGGAGAGTTTACGGATCGACAAGCCGACCCTGAATTTCCTATCGCGAAAATCGGAATCATTCCTGCCGCTCTCCAGGCATTAATTTGCGAGTTGAACCACGTGTCGCCAGAGCCACCGCCCCACGAGTTCGAGACGATGTGTGGGCGTGGATTGGCCGTCAGCATGAATTGGGCGCATTGAGTTAGAACCGCTTCCGTTCCGGAGCCTTGGTGGTTCAGACCGCGACAAGCGATCCAACTCGCGCCAGGGGCAACGCCGACGCCGTTCTCGCGACCTAGTACCGTTCCCATGACATGACTTCCGTGACCTTGTTGGTCAGTTGGGCCGGGTGTGGCGTAATATGGGTCGAGCCAGGCACCCGCGTACCCCGGAGAAAGTGCGACGTGACCAAGATTTACGCCAGTGTCGATGATGGCAACGACAGAGCCTTCTCCTCGCGTCAGGCTGGCCCAGACTTCTGGGGCCCGAATCCTTTCGACACCCCACTAAAATGGAACACAAAATGCTTAAGTTTTTCGCTGCAGATAAGTATTTATGACACCCTGTTTACTACCTGTGGGATCTGCTGAGTGGCATTAAACCCCTTATCAAACTCTTGGCCTAAAATTGATACCACATTTTGTTCCCGGACGACAAAATTTCCCTCAACTTTCTCCAAGGCGACCAGTTTTTGAAGCGTGAGTCCTTTCACTAGGATGATGTTTGACACCCAAAATTGTACCGTTTCCAAGCCGAGGTCTTGAGCAGCAGAGACAATGCCGAATTGCGAGGATTTCGTAAGTTTCTGTAAATTTGAGACGAGCTGAGCCACCTTTTCGTCTCCAGATAAGGATTGGAGTGTGGTGTTTGCTTCAATTTCCGATGTAATTTGGGGTAGCTCGATTATCGCCTCGGTGACGAGTCCCAGAGCAACTTTGTCCTTTAAGGCGAGGTCCACGTGGCCGGCGGACGTGACTGCGACGACGGCAGAAATTATGAGCAGAAAGTATTTCATTGTGGTATTTTTAAATAGTTAGGTGTCCACTAAATGACTGACCGGCACAATGTTTTGCAGGAGTTTATATACTTCTTCTGAAACCAAATTGTGTATTTGTCATCATGTCCATAATCATGAGATTAAAGTTTACAGGTGGCATACAAATTTTTAATTAAAGGTTAATTTGCCTAATATTTATCCCTTTATTGATTCATTCGTCAATTCGCTGAATTACTTATCAGCACTTATGCCCAAAGTTAATAGGTAAAAAAATATTGTGTGCATATTTACGTATTTGCAAAATTATTGACACTCAAGATTAGAAATGTGTGTATGTATTTATTTATATGTATCAATGTATGTATGCAAGTATCGATTATATCTCTGTCCTGCTTATGATGTTGAGAATGGTTTTCCCAGTTTATGGATTATCTATGGAAATTGATAATCTACATATACACGTAAATACCTAACCCACTTATTTATTATTGTGTCATGGGGAATTTTATTTGTTCGTATTTCATAGTTTATTCCTCCAATACAAAACCGATCAATCGGATGGATTATCATTGTCGTTTCTGATTGATAAATAAAGTTTATTTAATAAACTATAAATATGACTTGCCAATAAACGATAAGAATTCGTGTTTCACATACATATTTATGTTCATGATAATGGATTATGTATGTAAATGCTCAGAAATAACTATGTAGGTAATTAATACAATTTAAAGTGAAAGTGAAATGTGCAAATGTAATGTATGCATAAAACTAAACTTTCATAACATGTATGTATGTATGTACATACTCAGCGGCGTAGCCAAGGGGGGGGCTAGGGGGGCTTGAGCCCCCCCCAGAGCCCGAGAAAATAAAAAAAATAATAAAAAAAATTGCAAAAAATTGCAAAAATTAAAAAATTAAAAAATAGGTTACGTATGAAGTTATGTATCAAATTGCGAGGATTCGTTATTACCTCGAATCCTTAGTATTTTTTGTATCGCAAAATAAGTTATGAAAGCTAACAGATTTTCCGATAGTCGTATAACTGCACTGACAATGCGTAAGCACCAAATGTCTTTATCCGATTTTAATCGGATAAATTTTAAATTTTTGTCGTTCAAAAAAATTATCTACATTTTTGCATTTTCGTGGAGTTTCCCTTGTGACGGAATTTATAGCCAAAACTATGTAGAATCATTCAAAATGCTATAAATGTTTTAATTTTAAAATGATTTCAGAAATTTAAAAAAATAAGAAGAAAAATTACTTTTCAAAAACTTGTAATGTTAATAAGTTTGACAATGTTTGCATTTTTCAAACTCCCAGAGTGGCATGCAAGTTTTAAATTTTAAAAGTTTTTAGCAAAGTACTTGTTTTTAATCTGGTTAAAATTGGAAAACTTCCAGCGTTTTGAAAAATCCTGATTTAGGGTAAAAATTCAGGCAAAGGGAAAAATATGCGCATCCAAAAAAAAATGCGAAAAGATATCCCCAATTATTTCTGTGCACGAAATATTGAAAATTTGTCATGTCAAAATCGGGGAAAATCACTTCAGGTCTCCGCATTATAAGCTCACGGTTTTTATGAAGCTTGATACTTCGTTTTTGATTTCTATGCTATTTTACGATACTAAGGACGCGAAGACAAATCTGGATACCAATTTTGAATTTGAGGCTTGCGTATTTCATTCGTCGTTTAATTTTTAGATAATTAAAATGTTGGGGACCTGTTTTTAATCAAAAATATTTTAAGCTACGTCGCCAAAGTTTTTATTAGAGATATGTCAAGGGTATAAATTCAATCTGGTAACATTTTTCACTGCAAAGCAAACGTTTTTTTCGAAACTGCAGGTATTACAAAACCCATTTTTTAACATAACGCTACGCTGGTACAATTTTTGATATAAGGTGTGTCCAGGAATAAATGGTTCCGCGCATAATGTCCTGGGTTTTACGACCAGGTAAGTAGAATATTATAAAAGCTTCGGCAAGTTGTACGTGGGAACCATAGCGACTAGATTTTGCTTCGAAGGATTTATCTTTCTCCATTTTCGGCCACCAATCCGACTTTTCGCAGCAACCCTAAAATTAGCGGTTTTTGGACAGATTAAGAAATGTCCTGGCTGATTTTTTGGCATTAGCGTTAGAATTTTAACAGCTTTTCCGCCTTGGTGCGAAGGTTTTAGTACCTTCTTTTGCACAAGGCCCAAAGCTCTTAATGAGTGGTTTTGCGGAATAAATTTACACCCATGTAAGTCCTTAATCTTTGGACCAATTATTCTAATCATGCCTTAAGCTGTCTGTTGAAGACTTTTGGATAATTTTTCTCAAGTTGAAACTGGTGTGATTTTTGAGTGATCTCTAAAATTTTGTCAATAAACCCTTGATGTTGCCAGGATTTTTTATATAATTTTTCTTTGATTGCACAAGACTATCCAAGGAAAACAAGGTTGAATTTATAACTGGCTACCACCATTTGCTACATTTATAGGTGTTACACTTTGCGTTGAAGCCACTTGGTACCACCACACTTTAACCCAAATTTACAGACCCTCGTTAGTGTGTGGTCCGATTTTTTGTCATCAAAAAACCACTGGGATGAATTAAATACACACGATTTACATAAGTACTACAGATATAATAAATGTTTGAGGAATTTATAGGTCAGGCATTATATGTATATGGCGCGCTAAAGTTAGTGGTTTTTGACACTAAAAGCTAAAATATGTACGTATATATGTATGTAGATATGTAAACTAGGGAAGTGAGCATAGCGGATCAGACTGGCACAAAAATGTGGATATCTGGAAAAATAGCAGACTGGGTTTACTAAAAATTTACGATAATAAACAAGTGACCCTACCCTACAATCACCCTCAACCACAGTGTGTTCGGGTTCGTGTGTGGCTTCCACAACCACTTTGTTCTTGAAGACTCACAAAAAAATTTTCTCACCCACCTGGAGCTAGCTTGCTACCACATTCTGTTGAATCCAGTCCATCCATTCGGTATTCCTGATTCACTAGGATATTAGCTTTTAAAATCTGTTCCAACTTTTTCAATGTGACGACATCCGGGAAATTTTTATGTATTTTCCTCTGCAAAAAAAGCAAAGATGTTTAACTTTTTAGCAATTTTTTGGAATTTTGACTTATTGACAGCGAGTAGCGTCCAGCCAAAAAATAATTTTCTGCTGAAGATGATTACCAATGATCATGGATTTTAAAATTCATTTGATCCAGTTTTTTGCGTACGTATTTTGGTCACTGGGGTCATTTATAGTGAATAATTCAGGGTCATTTCTTTACTGACAAATCCCCAATTTTTTTGGGAAACTTGCTTGTCACTTTTCATTTGAAGTTATATCACACTTCCTTACCCTTGACTGAACATAAGATTGGCCATTTGATAATTCAGATAAATTCGATTCTGATCATCCAAATGAATTTAGTTTCGAGCATATTGAAAAATATTATGCAAAGTGTCCACGTTGAATTCGACCTAAAACCAAGTTGTAGGTATTGTTTAAAGTAATACATCATGATTTTTTAAGTCAGCATAAGTTTATCTAAAAATTCAATAAACAATTTTGTTTTTAAATCCGCGTGCGGAGCCACATGCCGTTTTTTGACCAGTCTTATCCGCTAGGCGCACTTCCCTATGTATCTATACCCTTTGATACTCCGTGTTATAATGGTGTGAGTGAGTGAACGTTGAAATTTTAAGCCTAAAAAGATTAATATAAATATTTTTTGGCTGGGCCTCCCCCAAGGCACAATCCTGGCTACGCCGCTGATACTACATATGTATATATGCATGACGTCTTATGGAAAAATATGTACATGCAACACAATTTCCACCAATTAGCGACAAATTAATTTATTATCGACATGCCATGAACTTTCCAGGCCTCAGTTTCTCGAAATTTCATGGATGATTTATTTGTGTGCATCTCAGCTATGTATAGGACGTATAACGACCACAACAGAATTGTCCGCGAATTAATCCATTTTCTTGCAGTTAATAATACTTCTTTAAGGTTAAAAAGTTTCCATAGAAACAGTTTCCATAACTTTTGGTTATACATTTTTCTGCATAATTACTGAATAACTCCGACAAACTCCGTGATACAACTTATAAGTGCTATGACTTTTAATAAATATTTCCAACATTAAGTTTGAACTTAATTTTACTAAATATTGCCTTTATTCAGTATGTAAGTTTATATGAACATATCTAAGAGACAAAACTTGTTATTGCGAACATCCAGCAATGGGAGTTAAAGAAAGTGTAGATGACTTATCTTTGGTATGTGTATGTATTGCTGCAGGAATTAAGTTCCATAAACAACGCGGAGGAGGATTACTACTATACACCAGAGAAGACTACGAGGTCACTTTGCTCCCTTCTCCATTTCCTCCCCCAGTTGAATCCATAAAAGTCGTTCTTAAAAAACAACACCTACCTGACCTTATCCTCATCCTTATTTATCGTGTAACAACCACTCCTAAATTCTTCCTTGTCCAAATGGAAGACGAAATTGCAAACAATAGTCAGTCTGAGTTTTATATGATAGGGGACTTTAATATTGACCAACTCAAATCAGAATCAAGTGAATTTAAGTCTGCAATTCGACGGCAAAGTTGCAAACAACTCATAACTCAGCCAACCAGAGTAACTACCGACAGCAAATCATTAATAGACTTAATTGTGACCAATCGAGTTGACCTAAACAAAAACTGAGGAATAATACACGATGTAATTGCCGACCATGAAATCATATACACAATACGGAAAACACAGAAACACAAAAGATGCCCAAGAAAAACAGTAACAATAAGATCATTTAAAGACACAAACGAAGAAAAATTGAACGACATGGTCAAAACCGCTCCCTGGTGGATATTAGACTTTCAATCAGATATGAATTTAAAATGTGAATTATTTAACAAACTCGTGACCCTAATTTTGAATATACATGCACCATTTAAAACATTTCGAGTGCGCGTGAATAAAAAGCCCTGGATGACTGCAGAATACGAACAAATTAATAAAAATGTAGAAAGAGCCAAAAAGACGCACATAATTCTGGAGGCGAAGATGACTTTAAAAAATTTAAAGAAATACGCAACAAAGCAACCAGCCAAAAACTTAAACTTAAAGCATTAAAAATTAAACAACAAGCAAGTGAGAGTGATAATTCTTCCAAATTTTGCTGGAAAATGCTCAATACGGAGATTGGTCGTATTAAAACTTATCAAAAGTTACCTGATTTGTTCCACAATGGAGAGTTTATTAAAAATGAACGACACAAACTCGACATACTTTGCCAGCATTTCGCCAATCCTGATCTACCTCAACCCCAGCAACCAAACACACCGCCACACCATCCCGACATCCCAGAAGGCGAATTACTAACAAATATTAGGATCTCAGCGGAGGAAGTAAAAAGAGCCATAATAAACATCAAAGCAAATAAGCCGAGCGGATGTGACGGAATTCCACCCAAATTCTTTAGGATATGTGCTGAGTCGATCTCCCTACCCCTTTCCATGCTATATAATGAATTGATGGAAGCAGAAATGATTCCTAGCGCAATGAAGGAAACAATTATATATCCATTATACAAAAAGAAGGGTGCCAAAAACTGTGTAAAAAACTACCGACCAATCTCAATCTTACCTGCCACCTCTAAAATATTAGAAAAAATCATATATGACCGGATACATATGTACACAGATAAGTACGATAAATTATGCAACGAACAACACGGATATAGATCAAAGAGATCAACGCTGTCAGCAACCCTGGTCCTGACTGATGCCATCCGTGAGGCTGGAGAACAACGACAAATGACGGGAGTCGCCCTAATTGATTTTGAGAAGGCCTTTGAATCCTTGGCGTATCCAATATTACTAAACAAATTACAACAACTTGGGATAACAGGCAAGGTGTTCCAATGGTTCAAATCATATTTCGAAGAACGGACCATTACAGTGCAGAGAGGAAAACACAAATCGGCTCCAATTCGACTCTTGCGAGGAACGCCAACTGGATCGTCTCTATCCGGACTGATATTCTCCTGTTATATTAACGACTTCCAAAAATATTCAAACACTGCAAATGCGTCCTATATGCAGATGACGCCTGTCTCTACTACTCAGGAAACAACGTCCAAGAGATCCAAGATAAATTAAGTGAAGACCTCAATTTACTCTTAATTTGGTGCCATGAAAATGGAATGAAAATAAACATCCCGAAGACAAAGGCCATGCTATTCCGCCCAACAAATATCAAACCAAATCAAAATTTATCCATCAAGATTGATGAATGTGACATTGAGTTAGTAAGTAGCTAGTCAAATATTTAGGAGTTATTTTACAAGAGAATTTAACATATGAAATGCATTTTAACAAAGTTTGTTCCGAAATGAATGCTAGAATGTACATGATAAATAGAAATAAGCATTCATTTAATACCAAGTGGCTAAGAATATTCACTACGTCACTAATTTTATCATTATTAGATTACTGTATACCAGTCTGGGGAAACTTAACTCAAATTAAAAAAAAAAAAAGACAAGACGTTGTTGGACAAGATGTTGTCATCTTAAATTCCCATTTTCATCGCTTCTCATGATGAAAAACTTTCATGTCGAAAGATACTAGGAAAATAAAGTTCTTAGTATAATAATCCCACCGTACAATGAACATTTGAATGTATGTACACATTTGTACGTACATATGTACTTATTTAACTATGTATATACTATTTCTTTGTTTATCTACTTGATTTACTTCAAAGAAACCTGTACGTTTAAAGGGATAAAAGTGAGTCAATAAAATGTTCGAAGAATAATTATTGCATAAGAAATTTTGGGAAGGTTTGGGAATCTATAATTACATAAATCTCTCAACGTTAAAATATGTCCACTTTTAATAGGAGTCGCACAAGGCTGCCATCATTACGATTGAAAGGTGGTATTTGATTTAAAAATTTTGATAATTTTCGTGGGGTCTATCTCGTAGAAAATTTTATGTGCGTTCTCGAGATATGCATAATCATCAAGATAATGAATTTTTACTGCTTCTGCTCATAATTGGAAAAATTCCTTTGGTACACAGGTGACAGAGTCGGGGAGGTAATGAAGTTGTTGATACATAAATATAGATTGTACAGTCTATGCATACACAGGTATTTACATATCTGCTCTATTATTTTTTATTATGTCATTGATAAACACTGGGAAAAAATCTTTTGGGCAAATTTCTCCATGAAAATATAAAGAAACTGGTCGCGACTTTGAATTAAAAGTTCAGGCTAATCCCATGTATGATATTTAAAAGTACATTACATATGCACATAGCTGATACTTTAACTTTGTTTTTTATACTCGGTCTCTAACAAAGTCAAAACTTGAACTGAAAGCTGTTGAAAGCCTATCCTCTTTGACGGTTGTGCCTCCCAGCACTTCTTCATCAGTTGGTATCTAAAAATATTTATAAAAATTACATTTTGATTCTTGCACTTTAAATATTCAACCAACTCGCTCACATCTCTTGATTGGCATAAGGTGGAATTCCAAGCCGAAACCCTCGTTCCAAGTATTTCACGAAATCAGGTCCCCAACTTATTCCTTCCGTGTACGGAACTTCTGCCAAACTAAAAACCTCCCACATAAAAACCCCGTACGCCCAAATGTCAGACTCAGTTGAGAATTTTTTATATTTTAAAATTTCTATGGCACACCATCTCCAAGGCATCGCAGATTCCTAAAGTCGAAAATATTTTTTTTAAAAGCGATCTAAATTATTTAAATCTATGACTTTTTGAACACACCTTTGTTTCAACAACGTATGTTTTGCAGGTGTCATACAGTTGCCTGGAAAGACCAAAATCGGAAATTTTAGCATTGAAATTGGAGTCCACGAGTACATTCCTTGCAGCAAGATCACCGTGAATTATCTAAATGCGGATCGATACATGAACGCATGCATTCATTATCATCATAACATTTGTTTGGTGCAAGCATTTACCCTTTTAGATGCAAGAAATTCCATGGCACAACAAACTTGATGAGAAAACTTTAGTAATTGATACAATTCAAAAGGTTTCTCAGCAGGTCTTAAACCAATGTAACCGGGAATATTATATATTTTTCCAAGGTATGATTCGGCCATTGCCAATCGACGACGTTTTTCGTGAAGTACTCCCTCTAACGATCCATAGGTACAAAATTCCACGGCAACGTATACGATACCTGAAATTTTTAAAATACCGTGTGCAGATTGAAGAAACGGATTACTGTAGTTAAATTACGTAAAAATACAAAATCTACCCTTCTTCAAGTCTATGAACTGTACCCCCAGCAGTTGGACAATGTTAGGATGTCGCCCAACAAAATTCATTATTTTCACTTCTGACAACAAGGCAGCCAATTTAGATTCATCCGCATCTTTAGGAACAGTTTTTACAGCAATGGTTACTCTATTGTCCAGTCTCCCTAAGAACACAATGCCAAATGCTCCTCTTCCTAGAACGGTGTATTCCATGATTTCCAAGCGATATGGTAAAATTTCCAATGCTTTTGGAAATGGAAGATTTATTGCGCCTTGATAAATAGCATATTCCGAACGAGACAAATACGATACAGCATCAGGATTGAAGTTCATGAGCAAATCGGTACTTTGAACTGGTTGTATTGATTCTTGTCCATACTTGAATTGCTGATATAACTCGTGAAGTATGCGTTTCCTCTGCAAATTGTTATTAAATAAAATATACTTGCATGTAGCGTGTATTACAGAGTTATTCCACAAATTTTGTAAACCTTTGCTCGCATTTTGTAAATCAAATACATTGCAGGAATCGCTAAAAGTCCCAACAATCCAAGTGTGAGACTCCCCCCTATAATCAATGTTTCCTTCCAACCCTGTTCCGAAGGGACAACAGTGACGATGTATCTCAGGGTCTTTGAACTGGCAGAGTTTTCAGCCACGCAAATGTATTCAGCATCATCCTTTGTGCGTACTTCATTAAAAATTATTGTCGACTGCACAGTCCAATTGCCGTCAGAAATTTTTTGCACAGTCTTGGATTCTCGCAATCTTCTCCCAGAGTTAAGGATGTGATTAAGTGTGGCAAAGTCCCAAGACAATTCTGGTGGAGGATATCCCACCGCAGAACATGTAATATTTTTGTTCTCGTCGAATTCCTTGAAAACCTTATTAGTCTCATCCTCGGTGTCAGAGGTAAAGAACGGTGGTACTGCAATTGAAACAAATTTAGTACTTGTCATTTTGCATAAGGAGCAATATAAATAAATCATCATACCACTGCAGTTTACCAAATAATGCTTGTCAACATTTTCGCATAGTTGGGCAAATTCTGGCCACTCTGTGAAAGTTTTTTGAGCAAAAATATATTTCGAACAGCTTGCACTTTTCTCCACGTCGAAATCATTGTGAAAGAGATCTAAAATCAGACCAAAAACAATGTATATTTTCAACGTTTCCTCTGCTAATTATCAATTTAGCAGCATAATATTATTTCAATATCTACCATTGCAGCTAATATTGCACGGGTTAGCGGTGTTATGATCATCCTGGCACCATTCATTACTAATCTGTTGATCAATTTGAATTAAATAAATAGGAATCAAGTTTCAAATTTAGGCGATGGTCATGCGGTATGTAATAAAATCCCCACCTTAAAAATTCCATAATAAAAGCGCCCAGTGTGATCTGGGTCTGCTGCTAAATACGACCCATTAAACCGGGTAGTTACATCAGATAAGCATAACCCTGTTCAAGAGTGTCGGGAATTTGATATTTTTTATCCCAAAACAAAAGTCGGCTAAAATTAAAAAGATATGTGCACTTACAGTCTTCAATATGTTCTCCCCAATGTATATTGTCTTTGTGCAAATACGTAAGTTGCTGTGCTATCTCACAAGCCAAGTAAATTCTCTCCATGTCAGACGGTGTAGTTGGGTCCGCAGGATTCACAGACGTTCGCGCCGTCATATCCGACGTTGTTGAAGTAGGCATAACCGTAGATGCAGCCGTTGAGCTTGAACCCAGATCAAGGGTAGTTTCTGTGAAACTACTACTAGGAATTGTTGAACTCGTAGGATCAATTGAAGTACTTAATATCGTGCTCAAAGATTCTTCGGTTGTTTCCGAGCTTTCCGTTGTTGGTAGACTCTCCGTAGTCGGAGAATCAGTGTTTTCCTTCGTCGTTGGTAGAGTTGAAGTTGAAGAATCAGAGCTATCTGTTGTCGTTGATAGACTTGAAGTCAGAGTATCAGTTGTAGGTTCAAAGGTTGATTCGGTTGGATCTGAAGTACTGTCAGTACCACTGCCATCTGTGGTTGGTGATGTAACCTGATTGACTATCACTTGAAACGGATAAGCGTCGACCGCCCTACCCATCGAATCATCCTTCTCAGCATGACAAGTGTACGTTCCACTATGACTTAATTTGACTTCGCTAAAGCTTAAAGTGGCCACAAATTCGATATCCATAATATCCTCAGGGGGATGAGTTGTACTACTTATAAGCTCGTCATCACCCTATATTAGTAAATATAAGGACATAAGCTGTTGTACGTTTATATCTACTTATACAGCACGGTTCGTCCTTATTTGAACAAAATAAGGTCGGATAATTTTCGAATTTGAAATTCGATAAGTTAAAATTGGAGAACATAGCAAGAGATACCTAATTTTTCTACCTCAAATATGTATAAGTAAATCTTAGGATGTTAAAATAAAGACAAATTATGTGCTGTAAGTTTAGACGGGATTAAATTACAGTTGGTTCCCATTCCCATCGAAGCCTTGGCGAAGGATAGCTAACCACGGAACAATTAATTTTGACATTTGTGTCTCCCTCTGTCAGATAAAATTCTGTCTGGGATGATCTTATGGTTAGGTCTTCTATAAATAAGTGAAACTTTAGTCACACAAATAATTCGAACTTGGGAGTTGTTTTACTTATATAATGAACAAACCTGCACAATCGCTCGTGTAGAACGTGGTATCGTTGTTCATGCAATCTTCCTGAAATGCTGGGTACCATGGTATAAATGAGTCTCCGCTAACTAGAAAAATGTGACTGGCGCATTTTGCCGTCTCTGTGACATCTTCAGTTTGCAAATCTTAATTAAAACAATATAACGATCTACACATTATGTATGTACATATATTACAACCCCAATTTCAAGGTTCTACCTGAACAGACTATATTGCATAGATTGTTTGTGTCAAGTTCATCTTGGCACCAATTGTTTGCGATCTGTTAATTAAAAGTACACCCTTTTAAAAACCTGGTGTTAATCGTCACCAAACGGTGTATATGTGACTTCACCAAATCGTGATAATATTTTTTTACCGTTTGGTGATAAATTTTGCCCCCCTGGGGATAAATTGTTACTCCCTGGTGTTAGTCTTACCACGATTAGGTGAGACACATTATTACCGCACGGTGAAGTCACATATACACACCGTTTGGTGACGATTAACACCGGGTTTTTAAGAGTGTATGCATACTGTAAAAACATACTGTAAGAACATATGCACGATAATACATACACATTTGGTTCTGCTTAGTAGGAAAGCTTCACATTTATATGCCCTTCGAATATGTTATAGTAATTGAAGAAGAAATCCTAAGTAGTTTGACTCAGTGGCTATTTAGGCGCGCGAAACTAACTTAAGGACTTTCAGTCGGGATACCGGGTTATCGATCCATCCGCTGAAACGACCTTAAAAACCAAGTAGTTGTGCTCATAGATCGGAGTACTCCGGGCTTGGAGTACGTACTCGCGTACTCCGGAGACCGGGGTATGCAACTTTTCCTAGAGTACGCGGAGGCCGGAGTACGGAGTACGCAAAATTTCCGATCTATGGTTGTGCTAGCCCTTGTTCAAAGCCTTACCAGAAATCCAATCTTACTATTGCTATCGATAATTATGCAAAAAAGTCATTATTTTTCTAGCCGTTACAAATTTAATTAGCGATTAGTAAAATCTGACATGGGGACGCAATCGAGGTTCAACCCAGATTATTTTTGGACCAGCTCAGTATAAGAGACCATCCATTTAATAGAAGCAACATTTAGTGCGGGACTAAATGTTGCTTGGAGTGCGAGCAAATTTCTGAGCTTTTTTGGGCGCCGCAAAGTTCGCTGAAACGCTCGTTTCAAACTTAATCTGTGACTTGCATCAGCAGCTAAGACGTTTTTCGCAGTGATTATATATGTACCCGAAGGAAGCAAACTCAACTTCCATTCTCTTCCCGTGCTTAAAATTTCCCATTTTTGAACTTTGACCACAAATATTTTGACAAACTCTTACCATCGAACAAACTGCCGGTTGAAACGTTGGTTTTGTTGAGATGGACCACATAATTTCAAAATTTCGACCAAATCGGAGGGTTACACTTCACACCATCGCATTGTAAGTCGGTCAAAAAATAATCGGGGTTAAATATGGTTTGCTCCCCGATTGAACATAGGTTTGATAATTCTTGCATCTTTATACTCCCAAATATTACGCTAAGCAGCTAATGTAGGAGAGAGAACCTAACAAATTTACGGTCCATGGTTTCTATTTGTCTTAATATGAGGCATGGTGGGGTGACGTGAGGCCAGCGCGAAGCGCCTCAACTCACAATCTGTCACAATGTCTCATCTTACGAGAAAAAAAACCATGGACCGTAAATTTGTTGGGTTCTCTCTCCTACCTTAGCTGCTTACGTAATAACGGGTATTCCGATCCTAGGGTTTACTGGGTTAGGGTATTTGGGTTTTAATGGGATCCAAATGAATAATTAGGTTTTTCCATGTTAACTAGGTTTTACTTTGGTTTTATATATGGGGTTTCATTCAATCTTAACTAGATGTTACCTCAAAACTACATTCCAAAAGTTTCTTTCGTTCCTTAGACGAAATTATTTCAAATGCGTCTAATGATAAGAAACTTTTGTTATCAATAATGTAATAATCATAATGCTGAATAAACTGACAATGAGCATCATCCGTTAACATAGCAGGTTTAGGTTGCTATGGAAAATTAATTTTGTAACTGAAATAAGTTGCAACATGGACATGTAGAATTTATTTGATTGGGCTTCAATTTGTAATAGGCGCGAAAAATATATTTTACATTTTTGCTAAAAGTCTAATAAAACCAAATAGGTATGTAAAACCCAAAAACCCTTTCAAACCCCTGGGTTGTAAACTTTCATTTAAGCCCAGGGTTTTTAAACCCTGCCAGATAGATACTTTTTCATATTCAATCTTGAACTAAACTTTTTTGAAATTTCGAAGGTGGCCAGGAAATTTTTAAAAGTATTTTAACATTTATAGAAGTTGAGTTTAATTTTTGGTATGATAAACAACTATCTTGGCCTACAATAGTGCAAGCATTTTTATAACTAAAACAAAGGTAGATTTTTGGCGAGCGATTGAGTACGTTGATTTTCGTAATTCTGCCCCTCCCTGAGTGGGTGTGGCGGTCGCTAATGTGGCCATGGAGTCAAACCACTTTTCAGTCATTTATCACTCAGGGGATACAACAAAATACCCAAATGGCATCGAAATATGAGAGGAACATTGAAGCTCTCCAACTTAGGACTTACATAGTTATTTCATTAAATTAAAAAAGTATCAACCTTTAAAATTCCATACGTTTTCATGGTGACGCCACCTTGATTTTCGTACGATGTGTCAAATCCAGTAGAATGGCGTGCGATGCAGAGCCCTGGAAACAATGAAATCTCAAAATGTTCAGACTTAAAGATTTTAGGATAAGATTAGATAAATGTGACAAAAATAGTTAGCGTAATTACATTTGGTCATTTCATTGTCCCACCGGTTGGGCTCTATGCCCTTGTCCCTAAGTCGATACCCAAACTCGCACCTATTAAATATTACTCCACTAATTATATTATTGCCTACAAACAAAATTGCAACTATAATTAATCCGCAACGGCAGCAAGTGATGTTCATTGCAAAAAAAAATCTCCAAAAAACAACGTCACTGGTTGACGAGTGGGCTGTAAATGGTCAACGCAGCTATGAATCTCTTCATATTTATCGTCTTCATTAGTTAATACTATTTTGTGCGTTATGCCCAAAATAATTGAGATATAGAACGAGTTTTCATTGAATTTGGTCCTAAATTCAGCGAATGCGGGATTTATCTTTCCCCATCTGACATGTCTAAGTATGATTGAAACATATTTAATGAAGTCCGCCTCAGTTGGGTCTTCTTAACCAGAAACCTATCAGTTATTATTTTGATGTTATCTTTTCCAAAAATTCGTCAACATGACAAAAAGCTTATTTCTGTCAGTTCGATCCGGACATGCATACTGATTTAATTTTGCTGACGCAAATTATTAGTTAAATTTATTTGCACAATGTTGACTCAAAGCGGATTCGTAAAGAATGGCACATGGTAGATAAGTACATACATGCATAGATTACAATTACAATAGAAATTTGTTGCATTTTGAGTAACAGTTCTTGGATCTGACATACATATGCACAATCATAAATATGTTAAAAAGATATTATTATCATAGCCCGGTTATTTATTTATTTATGACTTTTTCATTTCGAGCACGTCGACCCCCAAACTTTGTAGGGTTGTTTATGAACACTTGTGGTTATCAAAAATTAAAAAATGTTTTCCATTTTAACAAATGTTTTGGACTTTTCGCAAATATAAATATTTTTGTCAATATTTCTCCATATTTTAACAAAATATATTTTTTGTCGTGATATTTTAATTTTTTGTTGATTTTTTCGGGTTTTTGATGTGTTTGTTGGCATTTTTGGATTTTTTTTTACTTTTCCGTAATTTCTTATTTTCATGATATTATATTACACTAATGTGTACATTAAAGGAAGACAAGAAAGACAACATAATAACAATCCAATAACACCGGTTGAAGTTGAGCCCATTTTTAGCATGCGCAAATTTTTGTTCTTAGAGAGGAGGATTTGAGAGGGTCTCTCCTCTCCAATTTTGTTGTCCTTTTCATACGCTGGAGTACCCTATGAGTCTACTAAAACCCAGAAGTGGTTTGATTCCATTTTTCGCACGCCACACCCATTAAAAACTTTGAAAACTTCAAAAAGCCCTGTTTTCATATTCTTCAACTGTCACCAAAAATCCAATTTTGCTAGGATTTTGATAAAATTTACATTTTTGCGATTCTAGATATTTGTGTGACTGTATCCAGTAGGTATCTCAACCTTTTTGAAGTTTTGAATTTTTTTGAATAATTCATGAATGTCCTAAATTTCGAAAATTTCAACAGTTGAGATAGCTACTGGATATGATCATACAAGTATCTGGGATCGCAAAAATGTAAACTTTAGCAAAATCCGAACAAAATTAATAAAAATAAAAATATTTTTTTATAAATATTTCGGTGTTTTTTTTAAATATAAAGTAAATATTTTGGGCTTTATAAAAAATATTATCCCGGGTATGATTATTATTTATAGTCACTTATCTGATTAGTAAATTTGTATCTATAACTTTACATATATACGTATGTACTTACCTATTTGCATACCTAAATAAAATTTGTAAGGATATCTGAGGTTAAAAATGCATGAACGTCAACTCTTATCTGCTGGACAGGATATGTCAGTTACAAAAATTTATATCCATGTGTTGTACGAAATTTGTATAGTCATCCAAGCAAATTTCAAGAATTTGAACAGCATCGGTCTTAATTTAAAAATGAAATGTGAAAATGCTACCAAAGAGTCGACGGCGAAATTTGTAATACAAATACCATTTTCCAATCAGCAATACCAATAAATAAATCTGACCACTGATCAAGTAATTGTCGAGGATATATGTATGCTCGATATTATTAAAATAATAAATAAATCGAAACAACAAATCTGACGTAAAAGTATTAGTAGTACATAAGTGCTTATACTGAAATAAATGCATAAGTAAACAGACAATAAATCACACATGGTACTGTGGTAGGCATGATTTGCATAGCATTTAGGATTATACACAGCTTAATCCACATATCGATAAGGAGAGTGATTGATTATGTACATGTGTGCATCAACATAAATTTACTGGAAAATTGTGCATTACAAATTATTATGCGAATTGTTTATTAGTTTAAAGTTGCTACGTATGTACATATGGATTTCTGGAATTGTTATCAAGTTGGACTTTCCTAAATCGATATTCACAATGCGATGAATTAATCAATTGCCATGGTAAAAGTAAATAAATTTGTTTATTTTTTGTTCTATTTAATTGTCGGCGCAATGCCTTCCAGGAACAATTACGCATATAAACCTATGTATGCACATACCTAAAATACATAATATAGTGACTTGTTTTTATACATATTATGTATAAAAACAAGTCACTACTTGAACCCTTACCCATACCCTTTGTCAGTAAAAATTAATAGGACTTTTAGAAGCTTATCTGCCGATTAGAATGTGACATTCCAAAAAATTTGTACTTACTGGCCCACAGCAGCTCCAAGCCTAACTAATCATAGGATAATAAATGTTGAGATTGAGTGTGAAAATTCAAAGTAAGGAATATCCTAAATATGTGAAAGATAAGCATACACAAATAATTCTCACCTTCTCCAGTCCCAGTCATCAAGTTTCACATTTAGATAAATAAATGTGTCCAATTAATTAATTGTCCAACACCTGTCTGTATATAAGTCAGTAAATTTATACAAAAATTTGCGACATAACTTTAGTATGCACATATGTCTTCACGTGACCACACTCAATTAAATGAGTATACACACAATAAACCTTACATTGTCTAGTTGTATCCACACACTCTCAGAAGTGCATTCAAGAATCATACATAGTTAATCCCAGAGTTGATAAAAGTGATAAAATGACATATCTACATACATACCAGGGTATTCCGACCTGGGTTTTAATGGGTTGGGTTTTATTGGGTTTTAATGGGTTTTAATGGGTTGCAAATGAATAAAACCCACTGGGTTTTACCATGTTAAGTCGGTTTCATTTGGGTTTTAATTGAGTTTTACCTTAAAACTACATTCTAAAAGTCTCCTATACGTTAGAAGACGTTATCTCAATTCACTAAAGCAGTTTATTTCATTACTATTCTAATATACGAAAATTCGGAACAAATCAACAATTGACTCCATCCTTTAGCATCACAGATTTCAAGTGTTATAAAATAAAAATAATTTCAGAATAGATACAAATTCCGAATTATTTTTATTAAGTTATTACTTGAGACTAATAAAACCCAATAAAACCCATTTAAACCCAATGAAACCCAATAAAACCCATTAAAACCCAAATAAAACCCAATTAACATGGTAAAACCCATTAAAACCCATGGGTTAATAATTTTTGATTAAAACCCTGGGTTTTTCCGAACCCTGATACATACATATTTAGGTATCACTAATTCACTATACATATATTCCCGCGCGTTCCTTTGAGCAGCATGGGTTGGTTTTTTGTGAGTCTTCCTAAATTTTTTAGAAAAAGTTGTCGAATTAATTACAAATCGTTTAAAGTTATAAAAAACAAGTCAAATTAGTACACTTAGGTTTACTCTAGTATCTGATATAAATTTCATCCCATATTTATCACAATTGACAACGGTGTGGCGACTTTTAATTTCAACGTGGACAATGGACTTGGAAAGTTTCGTTTTTCATCAAAATCAGGGGTAGTCTTGTTCGCAAGCTACCCCTTGCGGGCAAGTCACGTTTCTTGGCATGACTTATCATTCTACACATCTGGAAATCCTATATTTAAATGAAAAAACTGCAGAAAAAATTAATTTATTGAAACAGAGTCGTCATCATGGAATTAAAATTTCATCAACCTTATCTAAAGACCTGGCTGATTTTCAACTTCTTCAAAACTTTCCCAATTATACCTTTAAGACTGTCAAGAGGGGGCGAGCACCAGGGGATGAATGGAAAAGACGACATAAGAACCACAAGAAAAGGGGCAAATGTTTGGAAAGGAAAGCACGACAACGTCAACAACGTCGGGAAAATAAAATTGTCGAGTCAAAACACATTGGCGCAAATCTATTAAATCTGGTCAAGATAGACTGTAGTAGTAAGTTATCAAAATTACCATTATGTGTACCTAGAGTATTCTATACTAATCCAACTTCTTTGTCTCCTGACAAATTAAGTTCTCTTGAGGTACTTTAGTTGAGTATGATATTGGTGTATTTGTGGAGACTTGGTGGAAAAATGATCATGTTAGTTATCTTCATGGTTTTGAAACGTTTTCAAAAAATAGAAATTATGTAGGGCCAAATAAGAAATCGATAAAAAAGGGTGGCGGGCTAGCCATTTTTGTTAGGAAAACAATCTCGGCAAAAATTTGTAATATTAATCTGAAAGTTGACTCAAAAATTGAATCGTTAGTTATTTTGCTAAAACCCCAATTTCTACCCTATTCATTAAGTTGTATTATTGTGGTAGCTATATACTTACCTCCTCAATTTGTGAATACTTTAAGCAGAGAATTGGATAATTATTTGATTGAATTGGTAACGAAATTAAGGGGTAAATATAAAAGTCCGGGTATATTAATTTTAGGTGATTTCAATAAGTGGGATTACAAGTTATTTGTTAAATCGTCTAAGTTAAAGGAAATTGTTTCATTTCCAACATTTTTTAACTCAACTAAATCAACTAGTTCTAATTTGGATCTTATTTTTATAGACTTAAACTTATATTATGAGGAGCCTGAACTGCTTCCGCCAGTCAAATCAACTTTAAAAAATCGGGTTCATGGATGCTTATCTTTGAGTCCGCTATCATGTTTTGAGTGTGGGAAACCTCTTAAAACAATAATATGTAGACCAAGTGTTAATCAGATTTCTGAGCAGTTTATAGAGCAACTTGACAATATTCAGGTAGATGTAAACGAATTTAATAACTTTAGTCTAGATCAGAAAGTTGTGCAGCTAAATAATTTATTAAGTCATACGTATGATTGTGTTTCACCTTTATACGAGAAAACTATTTGTGAAGTAGATCCGATTTGGATGACATCAAGAATTAGGAAGTTATTTAAACAACAGCGAAAGGCAAAGAAACAAAAATGTATAGGTAAATTGAAAGACATAAGGAGTAAGATTAAAGATCGGATTAAAATTTCACAAACCAGAATTAGGCAAAAATTTAGTGAGGAAGTACCTGGTATGAACTCATCCGACTGGTACCAATTAGTCCGTAAAGTTAGTGGTTTGGAAATTGTTTCAGCGTTTACCAAAATTAAATCAATTAATAGTACATTTTCGAACAGTAATGAGAAAGAATTAGCCAATTTAGTAAACTCCCACTTTTCAAAAATATGTACAACGTATGAAGGGTGTGATTTTATAAACTTGTGTCCGCTCCCCCGCGATTCACGACCAATCAAAGTTACTGATCTCCAAGTTAGTCAAGCAATTCGTAAATTAAGTAGTAAAAAGAGTAGCAGTCCCAATTTGATTCCCAGCACATTAGTTAAAAGTGCAAATTACTTCATTAGCCCATTATTAGCTAACATAATAAATCAATCATTCCAAAATTTCAAATTTCCTGAAACTTGGAAAAAGGATATGTCACTCCTTTACTAAAGAAAGTGACATGTAATTCGTTGAATGATATTAGGGCAATTACGCAGACGGATGTGTTTTCTAAATTAGCTGAATCATTTATGTTT